GAAAGAAAGAGAGAGAGAGAGAGAGAGAGARAGAGAGAGAAAGAGAGAGARAGAGAGAGARAGAGAGAGAAAGAGAGAGARAGAGAGAGAGAGAGAGAGAGAGAGAGAGAGAGAGCACAGTTAGCCTAAAAATAAAGTTAATGTTATTATAATTATAATATTTATTATTATTATTATTACTATTATTATCTGAACATAAACATAYAGTAATGCCGTTAAACGTATCGATAATACTGATGACCACCGATGAAAGCCGAGGACAGCCGGCAGCGGCGGCGGCGGCGGCAGCGACTCTCATAGCTGGCCAACAATCAGTATTCCGATGCTCGACATACGGTTCGCGGCCTAACGTAACCATTGAATGGCTTATCGATGACCAGCCAATCATCGGTAAAAATATAACTACCGATACTACTGATGATGATGACGACGACGAGGACAACGGCACCACTATATCGACAGTTACCCTAATTATTGACTATACTATGAACAGCAGGCAACTGGTCTGTCGTGTATACAATCAGCTCATACCTAATAGATTGTTGGAGGACAGTCAGGTGCTTAATGTTGAATGTTAGTATTAGGTATTATTAGTATATAATAATAATAATTATTATTATTTTATATAATTATTAAATAATAATTTTGTTTTTATAGATTTTACAACAACAACAACAAAATTGATTAGTTATTCAATTAGATATTATTATATTAGAAAACTATTAGTTGTTTTAAAATTAGATAAAAAAAACTATAAATAATAATTAAATAACTTTTATAAATAGCAAACATTAATTAAATTTTTAAAAAAAAATATTATAGTTTTAATATTATAATTTAATTAAAACTAAATATAATATTAACTAACAAATAAAATATTTTTTTACTACAATTTATATATTGATAGACTATTTAGTAATATTAATAATTATTATCTAATTTTTTTTATAAAAATATATATTTATTAGTATAATAACTAAAAAATAAACAAAAATAATTAATTAATAAAAATATTAGTATTATTATTATAAACAATATATATATTTATAGTTATATAATTGTGATATTTATTTTATAAAAAATATAATCTAAAAAATATATATATATATATATATTATTAATATTATAGATTTACCAATAATTAACATAACCCTGGATACTAATCGTTTAATACCTGTCCGCGAGGGTGACTATCTGAGAATCCGGTGCCATACGATGGCCAATCCACGGGTCGACCGTCTAGAGTGGGCACTGGATGGCCGACCCGTTCAACTAGTACCGGAAAAATCCTATTTTATGGATAGTCTAACTAACGAGACACTAGTAATCAATTATGTTAGCAAAAATGATTCAGGCCGTTACCAATGTACAGCCAGTAACCGACTGGGCAAATCTACCAGTGCCCTATTGATGCTAGATGTCAATTGTAAGTCAATAATATATAATAGTTTTTTTTTAAATTAATTAATTGTTAGTTTAATTATATGTATATTTTTTATATACATAAGCAATAAATGCATGAATAATTTACTGATTAATTTAAACTTTTTTTTTATAATTATTGTTTTGTTTTTTTTTTGTTTGCAATTTATTACAATTGAATAATAATTATATTATTTATTTATATTATAATATTTATTTATAATAAAATAAATTATTTTTTACTAATAGTAATTGCTATTACTGTATTGATTTTTAATTTTTTAGGTTAATTTTTTTTAGTTGTATTTAATTTTAGAGCTAGTTTATTTTTTATATTTTTATTAACAATTTTATTTATTTTTTTTATTTTTTAAATATTAACAATAAAATATTTTATTGATAAAATTTTTGTTAATAAGATTATACTTTTTTAAAAAATATACTAAATTATTACTATTACTATTATTTTACAAATAATTACAATCACTATTAGTTAAAATAAAATATATTGTATTTAAAAAATAAATAAATAATTATTATTCAATTAGTTGTAATAAATTGCAAACAATTAAAAATATTTTACTACTAATAATAATAATAAATTAATAAAAAATAAATAATACTACTAATAGACGCACCTGTATGTCAACCTGATCAGCAACAATACTATAATGTTGTACGCAACCAAAACAATACCATCCGGTGCTCGGTTAGCTCCCGGCCCTCAACTGGACTTAAATTCAAATGGTTTGTCAATACATCCATCGAGTTGTTTGAATTGTATCCAAACTTTAGCAGCACTGGTAACGGTATCAATGATGATGTCGATAATGGTTTACTAGTAGTGCCACCATCAACAACAATAACAACTAGTGTGACCAACTACAGGCCAACCAATACCCTAATCAACTATGCCACGATAATGTGTCTAGCTGAAAACAGTATGGGCATGATGCAACGTCAACCATGTTTGTTTTATTTAAAAATTCAGCCAGGTAATTATTAAATAAAAAAAATTATTTTAATAATTTATTATTATTTTCTAAATAAAATATTTTATTTATTTGAACAAAATAAATAAATATAAACTTAGATAATTAAAAAAACATAATATATTTTTTTAAAAAAAAATATTACCTTTTTAAAAAAAAATAAAATAAATTTTAATCTATTAATATAAAAATATTCACACACAAAAAATAATAATAATAATTTGTAAATTAAAACAATAGTATAGATATTTATTGCATTGGAAAAAAATTATTACATTTAATTGATAGATATAAATAAAATAATTTATTTTTTAATAATTTTTGTTGCAACTAGGTCCACCTGATTCAGTTAGCAATTGCCAGTTGATAATTAATAATAATAATAATAATAAACTAGCAGCAAGCAACATTATTGAATTTGAATGTCAACCTGGCAACAATGGTGGCCAATTAGCAGGTCAACAACAACAACAATTGTTTCATCTAGAAATTTACCATGCTCTAACAGATAGTCTAGTAGCAAATTTGACAAATGTTCAAGCTAAATTCCTGATCAATAATGATGGCATAATTAATCAAGGTAGCCGGTACAATTTTGTTGTCTACTCGTCCAATCAATTGGGCAATAGTCAACCGGTTATCTATCCGGCAATTGAACTGGGTGCAGCTACAACTATGGGTGATAATAGACAAATTGAGCATGCTAAAAGTAACTTGATTCATCTAGAAACTTTAAATAATAATAATTTATTTAACTTATCTAGCTAAAAATTTATTTTTTTGTTTATATATATAGCAATTATCGATAGCCAATTGATGAATAGTCTAATTGGTATAGTAGTGTCCATGGTCATATTTATCATATGCATTGTTATTGTTATAAAAATTAGACAATATATCTATGAAGATGAATACAAACTAAACGATTCCTATAGTATTAATGCTAGAAATTCAGAGGACAGGTATGTCTCTATTATGTATTAAATATATATATATATATATATATATTGATAAAATTTATTAAATAATAATTTTTTAATTAAATATTTATATTTTTAAATAAAATAAAATAAATTTAGTTCACATAATGATGAAACCATAAATTTAATGCATAATACAATTGCTAGTACTAGTGGTACAATAAACAACAATGATAATATTAATGATGATGATGAACTAGATCAAATTAATAATGATGATGGTGATAATGTTGAGCATGGTAAAAATTAATATATATACATATAAACTTATATATATATATATAAACTTATATATACATATAAACTTATATATACATATAAACTTATATATACATATAAACTTATATATATATATAAACTTATATATACATATAAACTTATATATACATATAAACTTATATATATACATATAAACTTATATATATATATATATATATATATATATATATATATATATTTTTTAAAAAAAATTATAATTATTAGAAATTTATTAATTTTTTATAATTTTTGTTTTTTTTGTTTATAGATTATCGTTACACTACTACTACTACTACTCATACTAAACGATTGGGTTCATCATTGAGACGTTATTTGCAATTACAGACAAAACTGAAAAAATCAAAAAAATCAAAAATTTCTGATAAAATTATTAATAATAAATCATTATTAGGCAAAAAAAATATTAACAATGAATTAGCCACTGGTAGTAGTATTGGTGTGTATAATAAATTTTTGGACACAACTACTACTACTACATCAACAAAAAATAGTAATAATAATAATACAAACGTTAGTAATATCTTTAAAAAAAAACTAAAAAAATTTTTATTTTTTTTTTAAGATTAAAATTTGTATTTTTTTTATTTTCAACAAAAAATAATAATAATAGCCTAAACGTTTGGTAGCGTTTGCTAAATGTGAGGAATATTTCGATGACCTACCGGTGCTCAATGCCAATGATAATACTGGGGAACATTACGAGGAACGGGCTATTGATGTGGGACAGGTAGCTGCTGCTGCTGCCAGTGGTAGTAGTAGTACTAGTAATAGTAATAATAACGATAAACAGTCGACACGGATAATACCGGAGCAATTTGTGGACAACCATATGATACAGTCGTGCTATTGTTGCCAATCAGCTACGGTAGACACCGCTGACAACAATGATGATGATGATGATGATAATGACATTTTAGCTACAGTTCCCGTATTATTATCTACCAGTGTTTTGCCAGAAAATACTAATACTACTACTATTACTAATAACAATAATAAAACTAAAAAATCTAATAAAAGTTTTTACAATAGAAAAATGCGATTCATTGGGAAATCATATTTTAGAAAAACATTATAAACTAACGACAACAACAATAACAATATATATTTATATATTATAATAATTAAATAAAAAAAATAATTAATTTTTATTTAGAAAATAATAATAAATTTTTAGAATAAATATTAATATTCAAAATATATTAAAACTATTTTTATATTATATTTTTTAAATAACAATATAAATATATATACATTAATATTTAGTTTAGTTTTATATTTAAATTAAAAAGCAATAAAAAAATGATTAAACATAAATAATTAATTAAAAATTTAATAGATTTAATCTAATATTATCTATTTTATTCTAATATTTTTTTTATATAAGTTTATTTAAATAATAGTATATTATATTAATTTTAATAAACAAAGTATATTATATATATATATATACCGGTATATATATATATATAAAGTATATATTATTTTATATTTATAATTTGTTTTTATTTTTGTAAATAATAAATTATATTCATTTATAATTCAATGTTATTAAATAAAAAATTTTTTACAATTAAATATGCTGTTTCATTGATTTAAAATTTATTATTAATATTAAAAATTTCCAATGAAAAAAAATGACTAACTCTTTGTTTTGTGTTTTTTGTTCACCGATTGTCCGGTATTACAACCAGTGGTTGGATTTGGTTATACCTATTACTGGACACTGTTTTAGGTGGTCTATCAGTTGCTACATATGCTACACAAGATATGTTACAAAACTATGAATTCATACTCTATTGTATAAACTTTGCGCTAACTGTTTGTCTATTAATCTACTGTACATTTGCCGATCAATTGCCACCAGAAAATAGCAACAATTATACCGACACTGACCCCGACTTATGGACCAAACATAGTGTTTATCCCAAATCGGGCGCATCCTATGCATCGCACATAACCTATCAGTGGTTAAATCGGCTACTATTGAAAGGTTGGCTAAACAAGTCACTAGTAATTGATGATCTATGGGCACTGCGCCGGGAGGACAGTACTCTCTATAACTATAAGCGCTTTTTGAAACAATGGTTACCATTATCATCATCATCAGCTAAACATGTAAGCATTATTAATAATAATAATAATAAAATCAGTGGGTAAATCGGCTACTATTGAAAGGTCGACTGTCCTAACGATTGCCCACCGAATCAATACAATTATGGACTCCGATCGGGTATTAGTCCTCGACAGCGGACGAGTAGCCGAGTTTGCCGAACCCAACAGTTTGCTGGCAAACAAATTGTCAATTTTTTATTCACTGGCCAGTGATGCCGGTATTGTTTGATTTAGTAATAGTACTTAATTATAAATTTTTCTTAATAATTATTAATACAAGTTATATAAAAAAATATGTATTATATTTATATTTTTAAAAAAATTATTTATTTATTTGTATGTAATTTATTTAATTAATTTATTAATTTTTAATATTACAATAATACAAAATTATATTTATTAATATAAGTTTTATTAAATAAATTTTATACATAGTTGTATATTATATTAATTTTAATAAAATATGAATATTTTATATATTATTACAATATATATATATATTTGTTATAAATTACTAAATTATATTAATTGCTAATTCAATGTCAATGTTAATCGTATATAACTTTATATATATAGCTAAATAAGCTGTTTCATTGAATTTAAATCTATTATTAATATTAATATTTCAAAATTTATAGCAATAAGATATCAGGATTAATGAAATGTAAAAGTAAAAAATATATTAAATAAACAGTTATTTTTTTGAGTAAAATTTCAAATAAAAAATGTTTGAAAATATATGTAACGATAAACTTTTTAAATGTAATTATTTATTTAGTAAATATATTAAATTATTAGTATAAAATTATATGCAATGATATAAGTTTTATATACAGTAGTATATTATTATTAATTTTTAAATAAACTATATAGTATATACTGTATATATAAAAATATAAATTTATATATATATATATATATTATTTTATATTTAAAATTTTTTTTTGTAATAGTGAATAGTATCATAGTAAATATATATTAATTGATAATTCAATGTCAATGTATTATATATCGTTTTTTAGTTTTTTTTATTATAGTTTTTATATATGCTGTTTCATTGAACTTAAATTTATTATTAATATTAGTAAAAAAAATTCAAATGGAAAAATTATAGCAAACAAATATCAGTATAATAGAAATGTAGTAAAAAAAAAATATTTTTATTTATTTTACAATTTTTTTTTAAAAAGTAAAATTACAAAAAAAATGTTTGAAAATATATGTTACGATAAACTATTGGTAAGTACTTAAATAACTAATAATAGATAAAATAAAAATAATTTACGAAAATCTATCAATAAATTTTCAATAGGATAAACAAATTATATGGTTTACTACCAGACCATCATTGAGCTCATGTATGCTGAATACATGGTTCGTATGGATACCCAGTCTGTTCATGTGGTTATACATACCGTACCTGTTATACAAATACTATAGTATACTTATGGATAGCAATAAAATTGTAATCAAATGGAACTTATATAACACCAGTAGATTGTTTGTGGCCATTGCCAGCACTGGTATCCTAATAGCAATGTTAGCATTGAGTTTGTGCCGCAAATATAAATGGTCGGACAGTCCCAGTACGGCATACATTATAGCCGTTGCCATACAAACAATCACAAGACTAGCGCTTTGTTTTGTGTTTTTTGTTCACCGATTGTCCGGTATTACAACCAGTGGTTGGATTTGGTTATACCTATTACTGGACACTGTTTTAGGTGGTCTATCAGTGGCTACATATGCAACACAAGATATGCTATACAACTATGAATTCATACTCTATTGTATAAACTTTGCGCTAACTGTTTGTCTATTAATTTACTGTACAATTGCCGATCAATTACCACCAAAAATAAAAAACAATTATATCAACACTGACTCCGACATATGGACCAAACATACTGTTTGTCCCAAATCGGGCGCATCCTATGCATCGCGTATAACCTATCAGTGGGTAAATCGTCTACTATTGAAAGGTTGGCTAAATAAGTCATTAGTGTTTGATAATCTATGGGCACTGCGCCGGGAGGACAGTACTGACTATAACTATAGGCGCTTTTTAAAACAATGGTCATCATCATCATCATCGGCTAAATATATTATAAATAGTAGAAATACACACAATAATAAACTAATTAAACATAAAATTAAGCATGATAAATCTAGAAATTTGTTTGCCATTATACTTAAACTATATTTACCAAAAATTATTTGGTCACTATTGTTTTGTATACTATCATATTGTTTGCAAATGGTATCGCCAATTATTTTACAGTATGTCCATGTTTATATATTAGTTTTTTTAAAAAAATAACTTTTAGATACTAATTAAATTTTTTTTATTTATTTATTAATATATTCAATTTTATTTTTTACTGTATTTTTTGTGCAAATAATTATATTCCTATTATTATTATTATACAGTTTAATGATTGAGTTTATTGAAGATCCCGGTGCTCCCAAATGGCACGGCTATGTCTATACTATACTATTGTTGGCCATCAATGTTATCGCTGCCATTGTTCAGGCAATGTTTAGCGAGTATATCGGTGTCACATGTAATTAACGATTAACAAAATATATATATATATATATATATAATTAATTTATTATGTATTAGTTTTTTGATATTTATTTATTTGATTGTATTTGATTTAAAGGTTTACGTATTAAATCGTGTCTAACATCAGCCGTCTATCGCAAGTCACTAGTGCTGAGCAATAGTGCCAAACGGCGCACACCTACCGGTGAAATAGTCAACATTATGGCCATTGATTGCCAACGAATTAGCGGTTAGTTTATTGATTGATTGATTTTATTATTATAGCAAATATGCTGTTTCATTGAATTTAAATTTATTATTAAATATTATTAATAATAATATATCCAATGAAAAATTATACAAAACAAATATCAGGATTATTGAAATGTATTAAAAAAAATATTAATTATTAAAAAAAATTAATATTATTAATATTATTTAAATTTTTAATTTTCTAAAATTAATAAAAATATAACTGTTTATTATATATATTTTCATTATTATTAATATATATTATATATTTATATACGTTTATATAGGTTTATTTCGAGGGCTTCAAAAATTTTACTCTCTATCTCTCTCTCTCTCTCTCTCTCTCTCTCTCTCTCTCTTATAGTAATTAAATAATATAAATACTGTATTTATACGCAGAGCAAGCCGTCAATCTGATTACAATACTATCAAATCCTATTCAACTCATAATAGCCGTCTATGTGTTATACCTACAGTTAGGTGTGGCCACATTTGCCGGTCTATCCTATATGTTGGTAACGCTTATCATCAATGTTTTAATTGCTTTATATACTGTACTATTGACTAATCAATTGATGTCAATCAAAGACAAACGTCAAAACTTGATGAACGAAATACTTAACGGAATTAAAGTTTTAAAAGTATTTCATTAATTTTATTTTAATTTTTTAATTAATTGTTTTCTGAATTGACTTCCAGTTGTATGCCTGGGAGGAGGCGTTTATGGGTTTAGTTGAAAAAATTAGGACCAAAGAGTTGGACAAATTTGTTATATTTGGCAAATCTATGACCGTTTATGTTGTATTAAGCCTTACCTGTCCAGTAATCGTCCAATTGATTACCTATTGTACGTATGTAGCCATCAATCAGGGTGACCAACTGAACCAATTAAATGCATCAAAAATATTTGTATCGCAATCATTGTTTAATTTGATCAGACAAATAATGTTATCATTGCCACAATCGTTTAATGCAATTACCTTGGTAACTATTTTTATAATAAAAATTATTATTTACCTATAATAACCTTAACCCCATAGGATTAATAATTATTTTTATAATAATTGGTTTTAAATTAATAGTAATATTAACAATAATTTTTAGATTTACGTATCATTCAAACGTATTGAACAGTTTCTCAATAGTGATGAACACTTGAATTATATTGAAAACAATATATCAAACAATAAGTGTATTATTAATGTTGAAAATGTATCGTTTAATTGGGAATCCGATACTAATAGTAGTAACAGTAGTGGTAGTAGTAGTGATAATACTAATAATAATCAACCGATTTTACATAATATTAATCTCAAAGTAACTGATGGCCAGTTTGTGGCAATAGTAGGCAGTGTCGGGTCCGGTAAGAGTTCACTGATGTCGGCCCTGTTTGGCGATATGGATATAATAAGTGACGGTAAGGGTAGAGTCAACATCAGGTCGGGTATTAGTGTAGCTTATGTATCACAACAGGCCTGGATATTGAACTGTACGGTCAAAGAGAATATATTGTTCGGTAAACCCATGAATCGGGAACTGTATGACCGGGTGCTCGACACGTGTGCACTCAGACAGGACTTACTACAGCTGTCCGACGGCGACGAGACAGAGATCGGCGAAAAAGGTGTTAATCTGAGTGGCGGTCAAAAGCAAAGAGTCAGTTTAGCCCGAGCTGTCTATTCCGGTGCCGATCTATACCTACTCGACGATCCATTGTCTGCCGGTATTTAGTTATAATATATTAATAATATCTATTTATATTATTAATATTAAAAAATATTTTTTTAAATTTAGTGGACAGTCATGTGGGCAAATATATTGTCAGTAAAGTACTCGACTCGAGAACCGGTATTCTCCGAAATAAAACCCGTTTATTAATAACAAATCAATTGTTTGTATTACCCGATGTCGACCTAATTGTTGTCATAAAAGACGGCATAATTACAAGTGTCGGTACTTATGATAATCTATTGGAAAATGATTTACATTTTTTCGATTTAATTCAACAATATTTAGCTGATAGTAATAACGATAAAAATTCAGATAATATTAATAATAACATTATTGATAATATTTGTATTGATTATTATGATGATGATTATGAAATTAATACAATAATTGATTGTAAAGTTATTGATAATAAAATTAATAATTATTATAATAGCAATTCAATAGATACTATTGTAAAACCAAATGACTTAATAGCAAAAACATTGACTGATATGGAAACGGTAGAAATTGGCCAGGTTAAATTTAGTGTATGTATACCATAATAATTTATCTAATGTTTTACTGTATAAATATATATACAACATTATTATTATTATTATTATTATTATTATAAACATAAAAACTGTATATATACTGTACATATATTTACATATAGATAATTAAATTAAATATATTTTTTAATTTATTTATATATATACAGTATATACGGTATATATACAGTACAATATATATTAATATATATAAAGCACAGACTAAATACAAAAATGTATTTAATATAATTTTATTTATTTTTAAATAAAAGTTTAACAGCAAAAACAAAGTTATATACAATTTTATATATTATTATATAATAAAATTATATATATATATAATTCTTACTTTTGTTTTATATATATTGCAGATATATATGAAATATGCCAAACAGTTAGGTCTGTACTGTTCACTGGGTATCATATCGACAAAAATTGCATACAATAGCCTACTATTTGGTTCATCGTTTTGGTTATCAATATTTAGCAACAATATTGATATCAACACCAGTAGTAGTCAACAATCATCGGCTAATACTACTACTACTACTACTACTACTACTACTACTACTACTACTACTACTACTACTAGCGTCTACTACTACTATTTAGCTATTTTTAGTGCATTTATCGGCTGTATAATTGTTACAACATTGGCCAGCCGTTTGTTTCTCGTATATGGTATCTGTCGGGCCTCCAAACGTCTACACCGGCAACTGTTGTCGAGTGTAATGCATTCATCGATGAATTACTTCGATAGGACACCAATCGGCCGACTGATGAACCGATTTGGTAACGATACCGATGTATTGGATCGATCACTACTTTCTAATATCAAGTATTTAATCAATTGATTTATTTATTTATCTTAATCATAAATAATCTAATAAAAAAAATAATTTTGAAATAATATTAAATTATAATAATATTTTTTATGCCAATGAATTCATATTATTATTATTAATATATTTTTAAACAATCAAAATAGTTTAACAACCGATTCATTCATACAATTGATTGGTACAATAATAACTATATCTATAAAGACACCATTGTTTTTGGCACCACTGGCACTGGTAGCTGTTATTTACTATATAATTCAGGTATAGGATATTATTTAAGTATAAATAACTTATTTATAATTTTTTTCGTTTTGTTAATTATTTAGTTTATTTTCATTAAAACTTCACGACAATTAAAACGGTAAGCAATAAAATAATATAAATTATAAAGGATTACTATTAAAAAAAATAAAATAAAAATTATAGTTTTGAGTCGACCACCCGATCGCCAATTTACTCACATTTTGGTCAAACACTGGCCGGTGTGTCCAGCATTAGGGCCTACGGCTGTACCGATCGGTTTGTAAGGGAATCCGATAGACGAGTGGACATCAATCAGATGTGTCTCTATCCTAATGTTGTGGCCAACAGTTGGCTACAGATTTGGTTGACATCACTCAGCAATTGTTTGATATTTTTTGCCGCACTGTTTGCCGTACTGGGGAAAGGCAGTCTAACCGGCGGCGATTTAGGACTATCCCTATCCTATGCAATGTCGTTGACCCTAATGTTAAACCAGTTTATCAAATCGTTTTCACAGTTGGAAAACAATATGGTTTCAGTCGAACGTATTGACGAATACTGTCGATTGGAAAGTGAATCCGATTGGCATCGATGTGATGATGACTACCCGTTAGCCGATAACTGGCCCGACAGGGGATCCGTTAGGTTTGAGAGTTATGCCACCAGATATGGGGTTGGATTGGATTTAGTACTCAATGATATTGATGTGGATATTAAACCGGGCGAAAAGGTATTACTGTATTATTATATTTAGTTATTATATTATATATTTCCTAAAATACTTTAAATTAAAGTTTAATTAATTATATATAATAATTTTTATTATACACATATTTATTATATAATAGAGATATTTATTATATAATAGAGATAAAAATCAAACCCCAATATCTCTATGGTTTATTATATTCAACAAAAAAAATATTGGGTTTATCTCAATTAATTATTTGTTTTATAGATTTAACTTTTAATGGTTACTTTAATTTTATTTTTTTTTAATATTATGCCTTTTATTAGTTCATTAAATTAATATAAAAAATAATACAATAAACATAAAATAAAATCTTATTAATAATTACACGAACAGTAAATTTATAGCTAAAGTTAGAATAATTATATAAATATTGATTTTAAAATTTAGAAAATAAATCATAATATTAAATATTTTTCTATTTTTTGTACAATAGATAGGTATTGTTGGCCGAACCGGTGCTGGAAAGTCATCGCTAACTTTGGCACTGTTTAGGCTCATTGAACCAGCAATGGGTCGGATAGTCATCGATGGTATAGATATCGGACGGTTAGGTCTACACGAGTTGCGCTCTCGGCTAACTATAATACCTCAAGAACCCATACTATTTTCGGGTACAATTCGCTTCAATTTGGATCCGTTTGGCCAGTTTTCCGACGATCACTTGTGGACAGTATTAGATAAATCACATCTCAAAAAATTTGTTGCCGCCAGTGATCGGGGACTCGACTGGACGGTCGCCGAATCGGGCGATAACCTCAGTGTTGGTCAACGACATCTCATATGTCTAGCACGGGCTCTGTTATGTAATACTCGTGTCCTTATCCTCGATGAGGCCACGGCTGCCGTCGACGTCGAAACCGATGCACTCATACAGCAAACCATACGTCAAGAGTTTAGATCGTCGACTGTCCTAACGATTGCCCACCGAATCAATACAATTATGGATTCCGATCGGGTGTTAGTCCTCGACAGCGGACGGGTAGCCGAGTTTGCCGAACCCGATAGTTTGCTGGGAAACAAATTGTCAATTTTTTATACACTGGCCAGTGATGCCGGTATTGTTTGATTTAGTAGTATTAATACTTAATTATAAATTAATTTCTTAATAATTAATACAAGTTTTATAAATATTTTTTTATATTTCAATTTTTATAGAAAGTAGTGTACATTTTATTAATTATAATATATATATATTAATTTTATATTAATAATTAATTATTATAATGTATAGTATCATTGTCAATTATAATTCAATGTCATTAAATAACATTTATAGCAAAATATGCTGTTTCATTGAATTTAAATTTAATAATAATAATAATAATAATAATAATAATAATAATATTTCTAATCGAAAATTATAGCAAACAAATATCAGGATTATTGAAATTTAGTAAAAAATAAAATAATAATATTTATTTAACAGTTATTTTTGATTAAAATTTTTAACATTTAGTACATTTCTTACATTACAAAAACAAAATGTTTGAAAATATATGTTATGATAAACTATTGGTAAGTATTTAAATAACTAATAATACCTATTAAAAAAATAAAATTAATAATTTAATAAAAATTTCAATAGGATAAAAAAATTGTATGGTTTACTACCAGTCCATCATTGAGCTCATGTATGCTGAATACATGGTTTGTATGGATTCCATGTATATTCTTGTGGTTATACATACCAAACCTGCTATACAAATACATCATTGGCCGCACTGGTGTTTATAAAAATGTTATAAAATGGAACTTATATAACACTAGTAGACTGTTTGTGGCCATTGCCAGCACCGGTATCCTAATAGCTATGCTTACATTGAGTTTGTGCCGCAAATATCAATGGTCGGACAGTCCCAGTACGGCATATATTATAGCCGTTGCCATACAAACAATCACAAGACTAGCGCTTTGTTTTGTGTTTTTCGTTCACCGATTGTCCGGTATTACGACCAGTGGTTGGATTTGGTTATACCTATTACTGGACACTATTTTAAGGGGTCTATCAGTGGCTACATATGCTACACAAGATATGTTACAAAACTATGAATTCATACTCTATTGTATAAACTTTGCGCTAACTGTTTGTCTATTAATCTACTGTACATTTGCCGATCAATTACCACCAGAAAATAGTAACAATTATACCAACACTGACTCCGACTTATTGACTAAACATACTGTTTGTCCCAAATCGGGCGCATCCTATGCATCGCGCATAACCTATCAGTGGGTAAATCGGCTACTAATAAAAGGTTGGCTAAACAAGTCACTAGTATTTGACGATCTATGGGCACTGCGCCGGGAGGACAGTACTGACTATAACTATAGACGCTTTTTAAAACAATGGTCACCATTATTATCATCATCATCATCGCCTAAACAAAATACTAATGCTAATCATAATTATAAAAATTATAATATAGATAATAAAATATGCAAACATAAAATTCATCATGTTAATTCTAGAAATTTGTTTGCCATTATAGCTAAACTATATTTACCAAAAATTATTTGGTCACTATTGTTTTGTATACTATCATACTGTTTGCAAATGGTATCGCCAATTATTCTAAAGTATGTCCATGTTCATTTAATTTTATTTCTATTATATTTTATTTATATATTTATTAAAAATTAATAATATTTAATAATTAATACATTCATTTTTAAAAAAATTATTTTTACAAGTTTAATGATACAGTTTATTGAAGATCCCGGTGCTCCCCAATGGCACGGCTATGTCTATACTATACTATTGTTGGCCATCAATGTTATCGCTGCCATTGTTCAGGCAATGTTTAGCGAGTATATCGGTGTCATATGTAATTAATGATTTACAATATATATATATATATATATATATATATATTATTAAGTATTAGTTTTTTAGAAAAATTTAATATTTATTTATTTTATTTATAATTATATTTAAAGGTTTACGTATTAAATCGTGTCTAACATCAGCCGTCTATCGCAAGTCACTAGTGCTGAGCAATAGTGCCAAACGGCGCACACCTACCGGTGAAATAGTCAACATTATGGCCATTGATTGCCAACGAATTAGCGGTTAGTTTATTGATTGATTGTTTTATTTTAATATTATAGCATATATGGTGTTGTCATTGAATTTTAATTTAATTATTAATATTAATAATAATACTGTATTCTCTATCTATTCTTCTATATTCTAATCTTTATCTCTATCTCTATCTCTATCTCTATCTCTATCTCTATCTCTATCTCTATCTCTATCTCTATCTCTATCTCTATCTCTATCTCTATCTCTATCTCTATCTCTATCTCTATCTCTATCTCTATCTCTATCTCTATCTCTATCTCTATCTCTATCTCTATCTCTATCTCTATCTCTATCTCTATCTCTATCTCTATCTCTATCTCTATCTCTATCTCTATCTCTATCTCTATCTCTATCTCTATCTCTATCTCTATCTCTATCTCTATCTCTATCTCTATCTCTATCTCTATCTCTATCTCTATCTCTATCTCTATCTCTATCTCTATCTCTATCTCTATCTCTATCTCACTATTATAGTAATTAAATAATATAAATATATATATATATATACGCAGATCAAGCCGTCAATATGATTACAATAATATCAAATCCTATTCAACTGGTAATAGCTGTCTATCTGTTATACCTACAGTTAGGTGTAGCCGTATTTGCCGGCCTATCCTATATGTTGATAACGCTAATCATCAATGTTTCAATCGGTTTATATACTGTACTATTGACTAAACAATTGATGTCAATCAAAGACAAACGTCAAAACTTGATGAACCAAATTCTCAACGGAATTAAAGTTTTAAAAGTATTTCCATATTTTTATTTATATTATTTTTTTTGATTAACTGTTTTTTTTAATTGACTTCCAGTTGTATGCCTGGGAGGAGCCGTTTATGGGTTTAGTTGAAAAAATTAGGACAAAAGAGTTGAACAAATTTATTACGTTTGGCCTATCGATTACCGTTTATGTTGTATTAAGCCTTACCTGTCCAGTAATCGTCCAATTGATTACCTATTGTACGTATGTGGCCATCAATAAGGGTGACCAACTCAACCAATTGAATGCATCCAAAATATTTGTATCGCAATCATTGTTTAATATGATCAGACAAATAATGTTTTCATTGCCACAATCGTTTAATGCAATTACCTTGGTAACTAATAATATAGTAGAAATTATTATTTATAAAATTAATATTAACAATAATTTTAGATTTACGTATCATTCAAACGTATTGAACAGTTTCTCAATAGTGATGAACACTTGGATTATATTGAAAACAATATATCAAACAATAATTGTATTATTAATGTTGAAAATGCATCGTTTAATTGGGAATCCGATACTAATAAAAGTAGTAGTAGTGATAATACTAATAATAATCAACCGATTTTACATAATATTAATTTAAAAGTTATTGACGGCCAGTTTGTGGCAATAGTAGGCAGTGTCGGGTCCGGTAAGAGTTCAATGATGTCGGCACTGTTTGGCGATATGGATCTGATAAGTCACGGTAAAGGTAGAGTCAATATAAGGTCGGGTATTAGTGTAGCTTATGTACCACAACAGGCCTGGATATTGAACAGTACGGTCAAAGAGAATATATTGTTTGGTAAACCCATGAATCGGGAACTGTATGACCGGGTGCTCGACACGTGTGCACTTAGACAGGACTTACTACAGCTGTCCGACGGCGACGAGACAGAGATCGGCGAAAAGGGAGTGAATCTGAGTGGCGGTCAAAAACAAAGAATAAGTTTAGCCCGAGCTGTCTATTCCGGTGCCGATCTATACCTACTCGACGATCCATTGTCTGCAGGTATTTAGTTATTATATAATAATAATAATATCTATTTATAATGATTTTATTAAAAAATATTTTTTTTAATTTAGTGGACAGTCATGTGGGCAAACATATTGTCAATAAAGTACTCGATTCGAGAACTGGTATTCTCAACAATAAAACCCGTTTATTAGTAACAAATCAATTGTTTGTATTACCCGATGTCGACCTAATTGTTGTCATAAAAGACGGCATAATTACAAGTGTCGGTACTTATGATAATCTACTGGAAAATGATTTATATTTTTTCGATTTAATTCAACAATATTTAGCTGAAAGTAGTAGTAGTAGTAGTAATGAAAATTCATATAATATTAATAATAACATTATTGATAATATTTGTATAGATAAATATTATGATGATAATGATGATGAAATTAATACAATAATTGATAATAATGTTATAAATAATAATCATATTATTAATAACAATAATTCAATTGATACTATTGTAAAACCTAATAACAACCTAATAGGAAATACATTGACTGATATGGAAACGGTAGAAATTGGCCAGGTCAAATTTAGTGTATGCACAATTATTATTATTATTATTATTATTATTATTATTATTATTATTATTATTATTATTATTATTATTATTATTATTATTATTATTATTATTATTATTATTATTATTATTATTATTATTATTATTATTATTATTATTATTATTATTATTATTATTATTATTATTATTATTATTATTATTATTATTATTATTATTATTATTATTATTATTATTATTATTATTATTATTATTATTATTATTATTATTATTATTATTATTATTATTATTATTATTATTATTATTATTATTATTATTATTATTATTATAATAATAATAATACATATAAAAACTGTATATTTACTATATATATATATATATATATATTATATATACTTTCCATATTAATTTATATATAGTACAGTATATACGTTATAAATACAAATTGTATTATACAATATATAAATGTGAAGTTAGAGTAAATACATGCATACAAAATGTATTTAATATAATTTTATTTATTTATAAGATAAAAGATACAATAATAGTATTATTATAAGTTATATACAATTATATATATATATGTAATTTTTATTTTGTTTATATATATATTGCAGATATATATGAAATATGCCAAACAGTTAGGTCCGTACTGTTCAATGGGTTTCCTATTGTCAATAATCACATACAATGCCCTACTGTTTGGTTCATCGTTTTGGTTATCAATATTTAGCAACAATATTAACATCAACACCAGTAGCCAAAAATTATCGGCTTATACTACTACTACTACTACTACTACTACTACTACTACTAACGACGACTACTATTATTTGGCCATTTTTAGTGCATTTATCGGCAGTATAATTGTTACAACATTGGCCAGCCGTTTGTTTATTGTCTACGGTATACGTCGGGCCTCCACTCGTCTACACCGGCAACTGTTGTCGAGTGTAATGCATTCACCGATGAATTACTTCGATAGGACACCAATCGGCCGACTGATGAACCGATTTGGTAACGACACCGATGTATTGGATCGATCGCTTCTCTATACTATCAAGTAATTAATAAATTGATTGATTTATTTAATAATTATTTAATAACTGAATATTAAATAATAGTATTATTTTTTATGCTAATGAATTCATATTATTATTAAAATTTTCAAACAATCAAAAAAGTTTAACTACCGATGCATTCATGCAATTGATTGGTATAATTATAACGATATCTATAAAGACACCATTGTTTTTGGCACCACTGGCACTGGTAGCTGTTATTTACTATATAATACAAGTTAGTTGTTATATTGTATAATATAAATATAATTTTATATAAACTTTATTTATTTAATTAATTTCGTTTTGTTAATTATTTAGTTTATTTTCATTAAAACTTCACGACAATTAAAACGGTAAACAATAGAATAATATAATAAAAGATAATAATATAGAAAAAATAAAATTATAGATTAGAGTCGACCACCCGATCGCCAATTTACTCACATTTTGGTCAAACACTGGCCGGTGTGTCCAGCATTAGGGCCTACGGCTGTACCGATCGGTTTGTAAGGGAATCCGATAGACGAGTGGACATCAATCAGATGTGTCTCTATCCTAATGTTGTAGCAAACAGTTGGCTACAGATTTGGTTGACATCACTCAGCAATTGTTTGCTATTTTTTGCCGCACTGTTTGCCGTACTGGGGAAAGGCAGTCTAACCGGCAGCGATATAGGACTATCCCTATCCTATGCAATGTCGTTAACATTAATGTTAGATTATTTTATCAAATCGTTTTCACAGTTGGAAAACAATATGGTTTCAGTCGAACGTATTGACGAATACTGTCGATTGGAAAGTGAATCCGATTGGCATCGATGTGATGATGACTACCCGTTAGCCGATAACTGGCCCGATAGGGGATCCGTTAGGTTTGAGAGTTATGGCACCAGATATAGGATTGGATTGGATTTGGTACTCAATGATATTGATGTGGATATTAAACCGGGCGAAAAGGTATTATTATTATTATATTTAGTTATTATATTATATATTTCCTAAAATACTTTAAATTAAAGTTTAATTAATTATATATAATAATTTTTATTTTATAATAAAATTAGGATTTTTAATATGATTTATCTATAGATTATAAATATATATAAAAATTTTAAAAAAAAGTTTTAAAAAACAAAGCCCAATATATAAGTTTTATTAATAAGTTATTATATTTATTATATTAGTTTTAATGGTTCCTTTATTTTTTTTTATTTTTTTTATTATGCCTTTTATCAGTTCATTAAATTAATACAAAAAAAACATAAAATCTTACACATTTCTATAAAATACACAAAAAGTAAATTTAAAGCTAAAGTTATATTAAAATTATATAAATATTGATTTTAAAATTTAGAAAATAAATCAAAATATTAAATATTTTTCTATTTTTATACAATAGATAGGAATTGTTGGCCGAACCGGTGCTGGAAAGTCATCGCTAACTTTGGCACTGTTTAGGCTTATTGAGCCAGCAATGGGTCGGATAGTTATCGATGGCATAGATATCGGACGGTTAGGTCTACACGAGTTGCGCTCTCGGCTAACAATTATACCTCAAGAACCCATACTATTTTCGGGTACAATTCGCTCTAATTTGGATCCGTTTGGCCAGTTTTCCGACGATCACTTGTGGACAGTGTTAGATCAGTCGCATCTCAAAGAGTTTGTTGCCGCCAGTGATCGGGGACTCGACTGGTCGGTCGCCGAATCGGGCGATAACATGAGTGTTGGTCAACGACAGCTCATATGTCTGGCACGGGCTCTGTTACGTAACACTCGTGTTCTTATCCTCGATGAGGCCACGGCTGCCGTCGACGTCGAAACCGATGCACTCATACAGCAAACCATACGTCAAGAGTTTAGGTCGTCGACTGTCCTAACGATTGCCCACCGAATCAATACAATTATGGATTCCGATCGGGTGTTAGTCCTCGACAACGGACGGGTAGCCGAGTTTGCCGAACCCAACAGTTTGCTGGCAAACAAATTGTCAATTTTTTATACACTGGCCAGTGATGCCGGTATTGTTTGATTTAGTAATACAAGTTATATAAAAAAAAATATGTTTTATATTTAAATGTAATTATTTATTTAATAAATTTATTAATTTTTAATATATAAGATTATTTGTAATAATCTAAGTTTTATATAAATATTTTTTGTTTTCTCTGTTTTATATATAGTAAGTATATTATATTAATTTTAATAAACTATCTATATATTATACTGTATATATATATATATATATATATAAATTATATATATATTATTTTATATTTATAATATTTTTGTTATAGTGATTCATTGTCCTTAAATATAGTTTACATGAAAAATATGCTGTATCATTGAATTTAAATATTATTATTATTATTAATATTTCCAATAAAAAATTATATCCATATCAATAATGGTAAATAAAAAATTATCATTTTCATATTACAAGTTATTGTTATTGAATATAATTTTTATATTAAAAAAAAATTACATATCAAATATAATAAATATTTTCAAATTTTCACTTTTAGTATTTATTATGAAAAATTTGATAAATTATTTGACAACAACTACAACAACTATTACTAATAAAAAAAATTTTTTTATTAATAATTTTTATTATTTAGAAAAATATTTATATAAAAATAATAATGAAAATAATTATAAAAATTATATGATTAATAATTATAATAATTTATACAGTATATATAAATATAAATATGTATATAAAAATCATAGTTAATTCAATTTATTGCTAACTAATTCATATTAATTTTGTTTATCAATTAAATGCTTTTTCATTAAAATAATATTCAAATTTCAATAATAAAAAAATTAGATGTTATAAGTAAATTGTATTTTCAATAAATTTAATATACTAGTATATATTTAACAAACATATATATATATATATATATATATATATATATATATATATTGTTTTTTTTTGTTAACAAAATTTGTTATATATCTATTTTAATCATATGCAAAAAAATAGTAATGTTTGAAAATATATGTAATGATAAACTATTTGTAAGTATTAAAAAATGATAATAATAATAATAAAATAGTTAAAGTTAAATATATTTTATTTTTAAAAAATAGGATAAACAATTTGTATGGTTTACTAATAGACCATCACTGAGCTCATGTATGCTCAACACATGGTTCGTATGGATACCCTGTCTGTTCATGTGGTTATACATACCGAACCTGTTATACAAATACATTAGTTCACGCATTGGTGTTAATAAAAATTTTATCAAATGGAACTTATATAACACTAGTAGACTGTTTGTGGCCATTGCCAGCACAGGTATCCTAATAGCAATGTTAGCATTGAGTTTGTGTCGCAAATATCAATGGTCGGACAGTCCCAGTATGGCATACATTATAGCCGTTGCCATACAAACAATCACAAGACTAGCGCTTTGTTTTGTGTTTTTCGTTCACCGATTGTCCGGTATTACAACCAGTGGTTGGATTTGGTTATACCTATTATTGGACACTATTTTAATTGGTCTATCATTGGCTACATATGCTACTCAAGATATGCTACAAAACTATGAATTTATACTCTATTGTATAAACTTTGCGCTAACTGTTTGTCTATTAATCTACTGTACATTTGCCGATCAATTGTCACCAAAAAATAGCAACAATACTACAGACACTGATCCTGACTTATGGATCAAACATACTGTTTGTCCCAAATCGGGCGCATCCTATGCATCGCGTATAACTTATCAGTGGGTAAATCGGCTACTATTGAAAGGTTGGCTAAACAAGTCGCTAGTATTTGATGATCTATGGGCACTGCGCCGGGAGGACAGTACTCTCTATAACTATAAACGCTTTTTGAAACAATGGTTACCATTATCATCATCATCATCAGCTAAACATGTAAACATTAATAATAATAATAATAATAATAGAAATTTGTTTGCTATTATTACTAAATTATATTTACCAAAAATTATTTGGTCACTATTGTTTTTTGTACTATCATATTGTTTGCAAATGGGATCACCAATTATTCTACAGTATGTCCATGTTTATATATTAATTTAATTTTTAAAAAATATCTTTTAAATACTAATTTTAAAAAATAGTATTTAATTATTAATATATTCAATTTGTTCAATTTTTTCCTAAGATTAATGATTAAGTTTATTGAAGATCCCGGTGCTCCCCAATGGCACGGCTATGTCTATACTATACTATTGTTGGCCATCAATGTTATCGCTGCCATTGTTCAGGCAATGTTTAGCGAGTATTTTAGTTCTACATGTAAAATAATAATTCAATAAAAAAAAATAATTAATAATAAACTTATTTTTAATTAATAAATTTTCTGGTTTTTTAAAAATTTTTATTTATAATAGGTTTACGTATTAAATCGTGTCTAACATCAGCCGTCTATCGCAAGTCACTAGTGCTGAGCAATAGTGCCAAACGGCGCACACCTACCGGTGAAATAGTCAACATTATGGCCATTGATTGCCAACGAATTAGCGGTTAATTAATTTTAATATATAAATATATATATATATATATATATCTCTTTCAAAGTAATTAAATATTTTAATTCATTTTTATATATATATATATAGATGAAGCCGTTAATGTGATTACATTACTATCCAATCCTATTCAACTGGTACTTGCTATCTATCTGTTATACCTACAGTTAGGTGTGGCCACATTTGCCGGCCTATCCTATATGTTTGTATCGCTTATCATAAATATTTTAGTCTCTTTATATACTGTACTATTGACTAAACAATTGATGTCAATCAAAGACAAACGTCAAAACTTGATGAACGAAATACTTAACGGAATTAAAGTTTTAAAAGTATTTCATTAATTTTATTTAATTATTATTTTGATTAATTGTTTTTTGAATTGACTTCCAGTTGTATGCCTGGGAGGAGGCGTTTATGGGTTTAGTTGAAAAAATTAGGACCAAAGAGTTGGACAAATTTTTTAGATTTGGTCAAACGTTTATAGTTTATGTTGTTATAAGTTATACCAGTCCAGCAATTGTCCAATTGATTACCTATTGTACGTATGTGGCCATCAATCAGGGTGACCAACTGCACCAAATAAATGCATCAAAAATATTTGTATCGCTGGCACTATTTAATTTGGTCAGGCAGATAATGTTTACATTGCCACAATCGCTTAATGCAATTACCTTGGTAACTATTAATATAATTTGAAAAATATTATTATTTTATTATTAACTGTATATATATTTTTTTATTATTTATAGTTATTACTGTATGAGATTATATGTTTAATTTTTTTTTAAAAATTAGTTATTAATTAGTCCAATTAGTTTTAATTATTTAAATATTTATGTCTATTTAATTTTAATTAAATTTTTTTATATAAATACAATTAATAATTATTTTAGATTTACGTATCATTCAAACGTATTGAAAGGTTTCTCAATAGTTATGAACACTTGGATTATATTGAAAACAATATATCAAACAATAATTGTTTGATTAATGTTGAAAATGCATCGTTTAATTGGGAATCAAATACTAATAGTAGTAACAGTAGTAGTAGTAGTAGTAGTAGTAGTAGTAGTGTTGATACAAATAAAAGTCAACCGATTTTACATAATATTAATCTCAAGATAATTGACGGCCAGTTTGTGGCAATAGTAGGCAGTGTCGGGTCCGGTAAAAGTTCACTGATGTCGGCCCTGTTTGGCGATATGGATCTGATTGGCAGTAATGGTAGAGTCAATGTTAGACCAGATATTAGTGTAGCCTATGTTCCACAACAGGCCTGGATATTGAACAATACAGTCAAAGAAAATATAGTGTTTGGTAAAACCATGGATAGGGAACTGTATGACCGGGTGCTCGACACATGTGCACTCAGGCATGACCTACAACAACTAGCCGACGGCGATCAGACAGTGATCGGCGAAAAGGGTGTTAATCTGAGTGGCGGTCAAAAACAAAGAATAAGTTTAGCCCGAGCTGTCTATTCCGGTGCCGATCTATACCTACTCGACGATCCACTGTCTGCCGGTATTTTATAATATACTTATAATAATAATTTTTTTTATTATGAGTCACTAAACAAACAAAATAAAATCTATTTTTTTAATGTAGTGGACAGTCATGTGGGCAAACATATTGCCAGTAAAGTACTTGACTCGAGAACCGGTATTCTCAACAATAAAACCCGTTTATTAGTAACAAATCAATTGTTTGTATTACCCGATGTCGACCTAATTGTTGTCATAAAAGACGGCATAATTACAAGTGTCGGTACTTATGATAATCTATTGGAAAATGATTGTTATTTTTCCGATTTGATTCAACAATATTTAGCTGAAAGTAGTAGTAGTACTGATGAAGCTATAGCTAATGATTATGATTATAATAACTCTACCGATAATAATGTTATTGTTAATAATAATAATAATAATAATAATAATAATAATAATAATAATAATAATAATAATAATAATAATAATAATAATAATAATAATAATAATAATAATAATAATTGTAATACAATTGATACTATTGTAAGACCCATTAACAACAACAACAATTCAAAAACATTGACTAATGAGGAAACGGTAGAAATTGGCCAGGTCAAATTTAGTGTATGTATACCATAATATTGTTATATCTAATGTTTCACTGAATAAATGTTTATATATATAGTATATTAATTATAATTTATATATTAATTATAATTTATATATTAAATATAACTAAATTAATTGTATTATCTCACATAGAATATATATAATTAGGATTTATAAAGTATATATATATATATATATTTATAAAAATTTATATAAAACTATTATACATTACTCTAATATTCAAATTACTTTTTTTCTTTGTAATAGTAATTGTAGAAAATATTATATAATATACTATAAATTCATATTATACTTAATAATTAAAATTAGTAATAAAAACAATTATTAATTATTTTTGTTTTGTTTGGTATATATCTTAGCTATATATGAAATATGCCAAACATTTAGGACCGTACTGTTCACTGGGTTTCCTATTGTCAATAATTGGATTCAATGGCCTACAGTTTGGTTCATCGTTTTGGTTATCAATATTTTGCAACAATATTGACATCAATACCAGTCATACACCATCGCCATCATCATCATCATCGGTTGGCACCGGCAGTATAACTACCGACAGCTACTATTATTTAGGCATTTTTAGTGCCTTTATTGTCGGCAATATTATTACAGTACTGGCCAGCCGTTTGTTTATGATCAACGGTATACGTCGGGCCTCCAAACGTCTATTCAGTCGACTGTTGTCGAGTGTAATGCATTCACCGATGAATTACTTCGATAGTCAGCCAATCGGCCGACTGATGAACCGATTTGGTAACGACACCGATGTATTGGATCGATCGCTAATGTTTTCTATCATGTATTTTAATTTAATTTAATTAAATTTAATTATTAATATATTATTAAATTTTATAGTTTTTAACTTATATACACTGTATATATATAAAAATAGAAATATCTAATAGTATATCTCTATACAAAAAATAATAATAATTTTTATTATTATTTTCAAACATTCAAAAAAATAGTCTAACAACAGATGTCTTATTACAATTGATTGGTACAATAGTAACGATATCTATAAAGACACCATTGTTTTTGGCACCACTGGCACTGGTAGCTGTTATTTACTATATAGTTCAGGTATAGGATATTAATTTTATTAGAGATTATTGTATATTTATATTAATATTAATTACTGAAATTACTGATACAACTAATAATGTAATATTTTTTTAAAAATTTATCAAAAAATTAACATGGGTAAAATTGAATAATGCAATTATTTTATTTTAATGTATATATATTTAACTATATAGTTGCATACAGTATATTAGTTATATCCATTAATTAATAATTATATTTATATATATACTTTATATACATTTTTATTAATAATAATATTAAAAATATATTTATATATTTGTAGTTTATTTACATTAAAACTTCACGACAACTAAAGCGGTATTATATTTACTAACAAACAAACAAAATATATTATAATTATTTATTTATTTATTCTTTTAATAAATAAAATATTATAGTTTAGAATCGACTACACGATCGCCAATATATTCACATTTCGGTCAAACACTGGCCGGTTTGTCCAGCATTAGGGCCTACAAGTGTATCGATCGGTTTGTACGGGAATCCGATAGACGAGTAGACATCAATCAGATGTGTCTCTATCCTAATGTTGTAGCAAACAGTTGGCTACAGATTTGGTTGACATCACTCAGCAATTGTTTGCTATTTTTTGCCGCACTGTTTGCCGTTTTGGGTAAAGGCCGGTTGACTGGCAGCGATATAGGACTATCCCTATCCTATGCAATGTCGTTGACACTAATGTTAGACTTGTTTATCAAATCGTTTGCACAGTTGGAAAACAATATGGTTTCAGTCGAACGTATTGACGAATACTGTCGATTGGAAAGTGAATCCGATTGGCATCGATGTGATGATGACTACCCGTTAGCCGATAACTGGCCCGATAGGGGATCAGTTAGGTTTGAGAGTTATGATACTAGATATGCGGTTGGATTGGATTTGGTACTCAAGGAGATTGATGTGGATATTAAACCGGGCGAAAAGGTATTATTATTATCATTATTATTAATATATTATTATTTAAATTATATATTATATAATCTATAGCAACCATTTAATAAAAAAAATATATAATAGTATATATAAAAAATTAAAGAAAAAATATATTATTACTGATAATAATTTTTAATTTAGATTTTTAAATAAAATAGACAATTATAATAATTATTTTTATAACTTAATTATTTTATAATAATTTTTATTAATAAAAAATTACTTATTAATTATTATTTTTTGGATAACAGATTGGTATTGTTGGCCGAACCGGTGCTGGAAAGTCATCGCTAACTTTAGCCCTGTTTAGGCTTATTGAGCCAGCAATGGGTCGGATAGTTATTGACGGTATAGATATAGGACGGTTAGGTCTACACGAGTTGCGCTCTCGGCTAACAATTATACCTCAAGAACCGATACTATTTTCGGCTACAATTCGCTTTAATTTGGATCCGTTTGGCCAGTTTTCCGACGATCACTTGTGGACAGTGTTAGATAAATCACATCTCAAAAAATTTGTTGCCGCAAGTGATCGGGGACTCGACTGGTCGGTCGCCGAATCGGGCGATAATATGAGTGTTGGTCAACGACAGCTCATATGTCTGGCACGGGCTCTGTTACGTAACACTCGTGTCCTTATCCTCGATGAGGCCACGGCTGCTGTTGACGTTGAAACCGATGCACTTATTCAGCAAACCATACGTCAAGAGTTTAGGTCGTCGACTGTCCTAACGATTGCCCACCGAATCAATACAATTATGGATTCCGATCGGGTGTTAGTCCTCGACAGCGGACGGGTAGCCGAGTTTGCCGAACCCGACATTTTGCTGGCAAACAAATTGTCAATTTTTTATATACTGGCCAGTGATGCCGGTATTGTTTGATTTAGTAGTAGTACTTAATTATAAATTAATTTCTTAATAATTAATACAAGTTATACAAAAATATTTTAATGTAATTATTTATTTAATTAATATATTAATTTTTCAATTATATGTAATAATACAAGTTTTATATATACTATATATTTTTTCTCATATAAGTTTTATATACAGTAATAAAAATTAGTATATTATATTAATTTTAATAAAATGTATATTTTATATAAAAAGTATATATATATATATTAATTTTATATTTTTTTGTTGTAGTGAATAGTAAATTATATTGTATTGATAATTCAATGTCATTATTTAAATGTCTAACAGTATAGCAAATATGCTGTTTCATTGAATTTAAATTTATTAATAATAATAATAATATTTTCAATGAAATATTATAGCAAATCAATTTCTGGATAATTGAAAATATTACTATTTATTTAACAGTTATTTTTTTTTTGAGTAAAATTACAAATAAAAAAATGTTTGAAAATATATGTTATGATAAACTATTGGTAAGCATTTAAATAACTAATAATAGATTATTTAAAAAAAAAAATAAAAGTAATAATTTAATAATAATTTATCAATATAATTTCAATAGGATAAACAAATTGTATGGTTTACAACAAGACCATCATTGAGCTCATGTATGCTGAATACATGGTTCGTATGGATTCCCTGTATATTCATGTGGTTATACATACCGAACCTGTTATACAAATATATCATTTCACGCATTGGTGTTAATAAAAATGTTATCAAATGGAACTTATATAACACTAGTAGACTGTTTGTAGCCATTGCCAGCACTGGTATCCTAATAGCAATGCTAACATTGAGTTTGTGCCGCAAATATCAATGGGCGGACAGTCCCAGTACGGCATACATTATAGCCGTTGCCATACAAACAATCACAAGACTATCGCTTTGTTTTGTGTTTTTCATTCAAAGATTGTCCGGTATTACGACCAGTGGTTGGATTTGGTTATACCTATTACTGGATACTATTTTAAGTGGTCTATCAGTGGCTACATATGCCACACAAGATTTGCTATATAACTATGAATTTATACTCTATTGTATAAACTTTGCGCTAACTGTTTGTCTATTAATCTACTGTACATTTGCCGATCAATTGCCACCAGAAAATAGCAACAATACTACAGACACTGATCCCGACTTATGGATCAAACATAGTGTTTGTCCCAAATCGGGCGCATCCTATGCATCGCGTATAACCTATCAGTGGGTAAATCGGCTACTATTGAAAGGCTGGCTAAACAAGTCACTAGTATTTGATGATCTATGGGCACTGCGCCGGGAGGACAGTACTGACTATAACTATAGACGCTTTTTAAAACAATGGTCACCATCATCATCATCATCGGCTAAACATATTATACATACTAACAATATTCATAATTATAAAAATAATAGTAACGATAATAAAATAAGTAAACGTAAAATTGAGCATGATAAATCTAGAAATTTGTTTGCTATTATTACTAAATTATATTTACCAAAAATTATTTGGTCACTACTATTTTGTATACTATCATATTGTTTGCAAATGGTGTCGCCAATTATACTAAAGTATGTCCATGCTTATTTTATTTATTTTATTTTTTTTGTTGAAAATAATTTTTTATATATGATACTTATTAAAAAATCAAAAAATATATAATTATATTAAAACATTCAATTTGATTATAATAATTATATTTCTATTATTTTTTTACAAGCTTAATGATTCAGTTTATTGAAGATCCCGGTGCTCCCCAATGGCACGGCTATGTCTATACTATACTATTGTTGGCCATCAATGTTATCGCTGCCATTGTTCAGGCAATGTTTAGCGAGTATATCGGTGTCACATGTAATTAATGATTAACAAATATATAAGCTATATATACCTGTATATATTTAATTAAGTATTATATAAGTATTATATAAGTATTATATAAGTATTATATAAGTATTATATATATATATAATTAATTTGATATTTGTTTTTTAGAAAAAATTTGATATTTATTTATTTTATTTATAATAGGTTTACGTATTAAATCGTGTCTAACATCAGCCGTCTATCGCAAGTCACTAGTGCTGAGCAATAGTGCCAAACGGCGCACACCTACCGGTGAAATAGTCAACATTATGGCCATTGATTGCCAACGAATTAGCGGTTAATTTATTGATTTATTTATTTTTTATTATTTATAATATTTTTTATTTATTTTTATAATTTATTATTTAATATTATTTAAATTTGAATACTGAGTTTCGAGGGTTTAAAAAATTTAACTCTCTCTCTCTCTCTCTCTCTCTCTCTCTCTCTCTCTCTCTCTCTCTCTCTTATATATTAATTTAATAATATAAATATATATATATATATGCAGATCAAGGCGTCAATCTGATTACAATACTATCCAATCCTATTCAACTTATAATAGCCATCTATCTGTTATACCTACAGTTAGGTGTGGCCACATTTGCCGGCCTATCCTATATGTTGGTATCGCTTATCATCAATGTTTCAATCGGTTTATATACTGTTATGATGACTAAACAAATGATGTCAATCAAAGACAAACGTCAAAACTTGATGAACGAAATACTTAACGGAATTAAAGTTTTAAAAGTATTTCATTTATTATTAGTAATATTTTTTGTTTATTTTTGACTAAATTTCTGAATTTTATAAAATAATTAAAACACTCAGTTGTATGCCTGGGAGGAGGCGTTTATGGGTTTAGTTGAAAAAATTAGGACTAAAGAGTTGGACAAATTTGTTGCATTTGGCCAATTGATTACCGTTTATGTTGTATTAAGCCAAACCTGTCCAGTAATCGTCCAATTGATTATCTATTGTACGTATGTGGCCATCAATCAGGGTGACCAACTGCAACAATTAAATGCATCGAAAATATTTGTAACGTTATCATTGTTTAATTTGGTCAGGCAGATAATGTTTACATTGCCACAATCGTTTAATGCAATTACCTTGGTAACTAATGATATAATAAAAATTATTATTTTATTATTAACTATAATTTGTTTATATCATAAAATTGGATTAATAATTATTTTTATAATAATTGGTTTCAAAATAAAAAATTCAATTATTATTATTTTATTATTATAGTGAATTAATATTTATCTAATATTATTTTTATAATAATTGGTTTTAAATTATTAGTAATATTAATATTAACTAAAATTTCAGATTTACGTATCATTTAAACGTATTGAACAGTTTCTCAATAGTGATGAACACTTGGATTATATTGAAAACAATTTATCAAACAATTGTATTATTTATGTTGAAAATGCATCGTTTAATTGGAAAACCGATACTAGTATTAGTAATGCTAGTGATAGTGATAATACAAATAATATAAAACCGATTTTACATAATATTAATCTCAAAGTATTTGACGGCCAGTTTGTGGCAATAGTAGGCAGTGTCGGGTCCGGCAAGAGTTCACTGATGTCGGCCCTGTTTGGCGATATGGATCTGATTGGCAGTAATGGTAGAGTCAATGTTAGACCAGATATCAGTGTAGCCTATGTTCCACAACAGGCCTGGATATTGAACTGTACGGTCAAAGAGAATATATTGTTTGGTAAGCCCATGGATCGGGAACTGTATAACCGGGTGCTCGACACGTGTGCACTCAGACAGGACTTACTACAGCTGTCCGACGGCGACGAGACAGAGATCGGCGAAAAAGGAGTGAATCTGAGTGGCGGACAAAAACAAAGAATAAGTTTAGCCCGAGCTGTCTATTCCGGTGCCGATCTATACCTACTCGACGATCCATTGTCTGCCGGTATTTAGTTATAATATATTAGTAACGAAATACTAAATATTTATTTATAATGAGTTTTTTTTTAATTCAGTGGACAGTCATGTGGCCAAACATATTGTTACAAAAGTATTTGACTCGAGAAACGGTATTCTCAACAATAAAACCCGTTTATTAGTAACAAATCAATTGTTTGTATTACCCGATGTCGACCTAATTGTTGTCATAAAAGACGGCATAATTACAAGTGTCGGTACTTATGATAATATTTTGGAAAATGATTTACATTTTTTCGATTTAATTCAACAATATTTAGCTGAAAGTAGTAGTAGTAGTAGTAGTAGTAGTGATAAAAAATTAGATAATATTAATAATAACATTATTGATAATTTTAGTATAGATTATTATAATGATAATGATGATGAAATTAATACAATAATTGATAGTAATGTTATTAATAATAATTATATTAATAACAATAATGTTAATAACAATAATGTTAATAACAATAATGTTAATATCAATAATGTTAATAACAATAATGTTAATAACAATAATTCAATTGATACTTTTGTAAAACCTAACAACCAAATAGCAAATATTGAAACGGTAGAAATTGGCCAGGTTAAATTTAGTGTATGTACATCATTATTATAATTAGCACATAAATACATATACTATATATATATAATTTAAATTTTTGTTATATATATATATATTGCAGATATATATGAAATATGCCAAACATTTAGGTCCGTACTGTTCACTGGGTTTCCTATTGTCAATAATCACATACAATGGCCTACTGTTTGGTTCATCGTTTTGGTTATCAATATTTAGCAACAATATTGACATCAATAACAGTAGTAGCCAACAATCATCGGCTAATACTACTACTACTACTACCGACTACTACTACTATTATTTGGCCATTTTTAGTATATTTATCGGCTGTATAATTATTACAACATTGACCAGCCGTTTGTTTCTCGTATATGGTATCTGTCGGGCCTCCAAACGTCTACACCGACAACTGTTGTCGAGTGTAATGCATTCACCGATGAATTACTTCGATAGGACACCAATCGGCCGACTGATGAACCGATTTGGTAACGACACCGATGTTTTGGATCGATCGCTACTCTATAGTATCAAGTATTCAATAAATTGAATTATTTATTTAATAATTATTTTATTTACTAAATATTTAATAATTATTATATCAGGGTTGCGAAATGTTTTCGATTTCAGGGGTGGGGGGGGGGTAAATTGGCAAAAATCTTAGGGTGTAGAGGGTGGGGTAAACAAAATTTTTTGCCAAATTTGAGTAAATTACCAATAAATTCCTAATGAATTCCCAATACTACTACTAATAATAATAATAATATCTTAATAATCAATTAAATATCTAATAAAAAATAATACTATAATTTAATATAATTTTGAAATTATATTAAATAATAATATTATTTTTTATGCCAATAAATTTATATTATTTTTAATATTTTTAAATAATCAAAAAAAAAAGTTTAACTATCGATGCATTCATACAATTGATTGGTATAATTATAACGATATCTATAAAGACGCCATTGTTTTTGGCACCACTGGCACTGGTAGCTATTATTTACTATATAGTTCAGGTTAGATATTATTTTTAAATGTATAAATAACTTATTTAAACTTAAACTTAAACTTAAACTTTTATTTTATAATTTTTTTCGTTTTGTTAATTATTTAGTTTATTTTCATTAAAACTTCACGACAATTAAAACGGTAAGCAATAAAATAATATAAATTATAAAGGATTACTATTAAAAAATAAAATAAAAATTATAGTTTAGAGTCGACCACCCGATCGCCAATTTACTCACATTTTGGTCAAACACTGGCCGGTGTGTCCAGCATTAGGGCCTACAAGTGTATCGATCGGTTTGTACGGGAATCCGATAGACGAGTAGACATCAATCAGATGTGTCTCTATCCTAATGTTGTAGCAAACAGTTGGCTACAGATTTGGTTGACATCACTCAGCAATTGTTTGCTATTTTTTGCCGCACTGTTTGCCGTACTGGGGAAAGGCAGTCTAACCGGTGGTGATTTAGGACTATCCCTATCCTATGCAATGTCGTTGACCCTAATGTTAGATCAGTTTATCAAAACGTTTGCACAGTTGGAAAATAATATGGTTTCAGTCGAACGTATTGACGAATACTGTCGATTGGAAAGTGAATCCGATTGGCATCGATGTGTGGATGACTACCCGTTAGCCAATAACTGGCCCGACAGGGGATCAGTTAGGTTTGAGAGTTATGCCACCAGATATAGGATTGGATTGGATTTGGTACTCAATGATATTGATGTGGATATTAAACCGGGCGAAAAGGTATTTTCTGTTTTATTATATTATATATATATTTTATTTTATTTTACAATAAAAAAACAAATATCACTATTTTATATCAAATGTTTAGTCAATTTAGAAAAAATCAAAAGCATAAAAATAATTGGTAATAAGTTTTTACCATGGGTATATCTCAATTAATTAATTGATTTATTTATTTTTTTAGTTTTTAGTTTTTAGTTTTTAGTTTTTAGTTTTAAGTTTTAATTTTTAAGTTTTAAGTTTTAAGTTTTAAGTTTTAAGTTTTAAGTTTTAAGTTTTAAGTTTTAAGTTTTAAGTTTTAAGTTTTAAGTTTTAAGTTTTAAGTTTTAAGTTTTAAGTTTTAAGTTTTAAGTTTTAAGTTTTAAGTTTTAAGTTTTAAGTTTTAAGTTTTAAGTTTTAAGTTTTAAGTTTTAAGTTTTAAGTTTTAAGTTTTAAGTTTTAAGTTTTAAGTTTTAAGTTTTAAGTTTTAATGGTTTCTTCCATTTTTATTATTTTTTAATATAGGCTTAAGGATAGGCCTTATTTAAAAATTACACAAACAATAAATTTAAAGCTTTACTTAAAAAAAATTAAGTCAAAGTTTGAATAATTATATAAATAAGTTAATTAATTAATTAATAACTTTTACTATTTAGAAAATAATTCATAGTATTAAATATTATATCTTTGGTTAATAGATAGGTATTGTTGGCCGAACCGGTGCTGGAAAGTCATCGCTAACTTTGGCTCTGTTTAGGCTCATTGAACCAGCAATGGGTCGGATAGTCATCGATGGCATAGATATCGGACGATTAGGTCTACATGAGTTGCGCTCTCGGCTAACAATTATACCTCAAGAACCCATACTATTTTCGGGTACAATTCGTTCAAATTTAGATCCGTTTGACCAGTTTTCCGACGATCACTTGTGGACAGTGTTAGATAAGTCACATCTAAAAAAATTTCTTGCCGCCAGTGATCGGGGACTCGACTGGTCGGTCGCCGAAACGGGCGATAACATGAGTGTTGGTCAACGACAGCTCATATGTCTGGCACGGGCTTTGTTACGTAACACTCGTGTCCTTATCCTCGATGAGGCCACGGCTGCCGTCGACGTAGAAACCGATGCACTCATACAGCAAACCATACGTCAAGAGTTTAGGTCGTCGACAGTACTAACGATTGCCCACCGAATCAATACAATTATGGATTCCGATCGGGTGTTAGTCCTCGACAGCGGACGGGTAGCCGAGTTTGCCGAACCCGACATTTTGCTGGCAAACAAATTGTCAATTTTTTATACACTGGCCAATGATGCCGGTATTGTTTGATTTAGTAGTAGTATTCATAATTAATTATAAATTAATTTCTTAATAATTAATACAAGTTATACAAAAAAATATTTAAATGTAATTATTTATTTAATAAATATATTAATTTTTAATTATATGTAATAATACAAGTTTTATAAATATTTTTTTTCTCATATAAGTTTTATATAAAGTAGTAAATTTTATATTTTAATAAAATGTATATTTTATATAAACAGTATATATATTATTTTATATTCAAAAAAAAACTTTGTTGATTATTGTTTAATTTAGTATTGTTTGATTTAGTAATAGTACTTAATTATAAATTTTTCTTAATAATAAATACAATTTAGATTATAAATATGTATTATATTTAAATTTAATTATTTATTTAATAAAGATATTAATTTTTAATATAAAATTATATGTAATAATAACATGTAATTTAGATGATAATTATTTTTTATTAATTAGCAAATAATATTTTTCTACTAATAATTAATAAGTATATCAGTGATTATTATACTTTCTAAATAAACAATTTTATATATATTTGGGGAACGTAATTATTCTCTCTTTCTCTCTCACCTGACTATCTATTGTTGTATTGATATCCCTATCCGCCCAACACTTTCATTCTTTTACTTAACTCAATAATACTGTACACTGTTTTTATGACCAATCAATAAATTGTTTATTTAATTAACTCTTGTGTCCATTGATTGTCAACACTGTAATTGCTATCATCGGCCGACTCACGCAAAGCATAATAGCGACCCCAACCGCTATATTGGTGACCCGGACGTGATTTTCACCGCCGATGACCTATTGATTACAATACACGTGTTTTCATCGATTTGTCGTCCTATAGCCGATATCATCACATTATCATCACTTCTGCCGCCGCCATCGACTCACAAATAGTCAACAAAATTATTGTCATCGCCTGTTGTCGCAAACAATGCCAGACACCGAAAATACAACTACAACAACAAATGTGGACTCAGTGGCCGTAAGGCCTCCGCCGTTCTATGATTCGAATCCTGCGCTATGGTTCGGACTTCTGGAGGGCCAGTTCGCCGCAAATCGTATCTCTAGCGATGCCGTAAAGTACGGAAGCGTTTTATCGGCGCTCACAGTCAGCCAATCCACCGAAGTGATGGATATTATTACTGAACCTCCGGCTATTGACAAATACAAAACAATTAAAGACGCACTCATCAGTCGATTATCAACAAGTAATGCCAAACGACTGGAACAACTGATCGATCGCGAAGAACTCGGAGATCGTAAACCATCTCAACTGCTACGACGACTCCGCCAATTGGCCGGCACAAGTGTTACAGATGATGCACTGAAGACATTATGGATGCGACGACTGCCAAACGACACACAGAAGATACTAAAGGCCTCAAGAGAACAGCTCAACACACTGGCCGATATTGCCGATGAAATACACGATACGTATCAATCGGTACACGTATCAGCAGTATCTACCGAAACAGAGGCATTACGTAAACAAATCGATGCACTTACCAAACAAATCGCTCAATTGTCATCCAATAGATCTCGTGATCACAGCAGATCTCGATCTCAAAGACGTGGCCGATCCAACAGTCACAATCGCGAAGACAATGGCAAGTGTTGGTATCACAACCGATTTGGCAATAAAGCAACGAAGTGTACGAAGCCCTGCAACTACAATGAGGGAAACGCGAACGGGAATCAATAGCGACGGCAACTGATTCCCACAACAAAAGCCGTCGTCTGTTTGTCACCGATAAGGTAACAAAAACATCATTTCTCATCGATACGGGTGCTGATGTCTCAGTACTCCCGAACTCAAAGCTATGTCGTAGGCGTGTAGAAGAGTATCAGCTCTTTGCCGCCAACGGTACTCCTATCAAGACGTATGGCTCACATTATCTAAATCTGGATCTCGGACTTCGCCGCGCATTTAATTGGAAATTCATTGTTGCCGACGTATCAACTCCTATAATTGGTGCCGACTTTCTCGCACACTTCGGTATTGCACCTGATCTTCGACACAAGCGATTACTCGATTGTATAACTGGTCTCAAAGTGTTTGGACGCATTCAAGTCGTCGACATACCGACCATTAGAACAGTCACCGGTGACACGCCTTATCATCGACTTCTCGAAGAATATACAGTAATTACTCGCCCGTCAACAACAATGAAGCATAGACTCCACAACACTGTACATCACATCATAACAACAGATGGTCCGCCTGTTTGTAGTGACCGCCGACGACTGGTTGGCGATAAATACAATTACGCTAAACGTGAATTCGAGTCACTTGTATCTCAAGGCATCTGTCGTCCATCATCAAGCAACTGGTCCTCTCCTCTTCATATGGTCCCTAAGAAGGACAATGAGTGGCGACCTTGTGGTGATTACAGGTCTCTCAACGCGCGTACTGTTCCCGACAAATATCCAGTGCCTCACATTGAAGATTTTACTCATAATCTCGCCGGTTGTCGCGTCTTCTCAACTATCGATTTGGTTAAAGCCTACCATCAGATACCTATCGCACCAGAAGACGTACATAAGACAGCTGTGAAGACACCATTCGGTTTATACGAATACTTATACATGTCTTTCGGTCTCTGTAACGCTGCACAGACTTTTCAACGGTTTATTGACGAAGTAATCCGTGGTCTCGATTTTTGTTTCGCATACATTGATGACATACTCATCGCATCTAAAGACGAAACTCAACACTTGGACCACTTACGACAGTTGTTCACTCGACTCAAAGATTACGGAGTAGTGATCAATGTCGGCAAATGTGTATTTGGCGCCTCTGATGTCAAATTTCTCGGTTACGTTGTCGATCAAACAGGAACTCGTCCTCAACCAGAAAAAGTCGCATCTATTCTATCGTTTCCTCGACCGAAGACAACTCAAGAACTCAGACGTTTCTTAGGTATTGCAAACTTTTACCGAAGATTCGTACCGAACGCAGCAACTATACAGGCACCGATGAATACATATCTTTCCGGAGCCAAGAATGATGTCATTAATTGGACTGAAGAAGCAATCAACGCTTTTGAGTCATTTAAGACAGCCATCGCTAATGCTACACTATTAACACATCCAATGGCAGGTGCGACGCTATCACTAATGGTCGACGCATCAAACGGTGCAATCGGTGCATCCGTTCAACAACTAGTGGACAGCGATTGGCAACCAATTGCTTTCTTTTCTCGAAAGCTCACAGACAAGCAAATTACGTGGTCCGCCTATGATAGGGAACTATTGGCCGCATACGAATCGGTGAAGAAATTTCGCTATCTTCTCGAAGGCCGAGTGTTTATACTGTACACCGACCACAAGCCATTAACTTATGCATTCAAACAAAAGCCAGAGAAAGCAGGTCCACGACAAATGCGTCAATTGGACTACATATTTCAGTTCACTACTGATATTCGCCACATTTCGGGTAAAGACAATGTTGTCGCCGATTCGATGTCTCGCATAGAAACCATCGCTCATGAAGTCGATTACGAAGCTTTAGCTAAAGAGCAAGAAGTCGACACTGAACTCAACGACATCATCGCTTCTCAGACATCACTATCCCTCAAACTTGTGTCACTACCGCACAGTACATCAAAAATATGGTGTGACTTATCTACAAGCACTGCCCGACCGTTTATCACTAAAAACTACCGACAAATTGCTATACAATCATTGCATTCACTATCACATCCCGGCGCTAAAGCAACAACAAAACTAGTCAAACGAGCGTTCATATGGCCAAACATTGAGTCTGATTGTAAACAATATGTCCGCAACTGCATCGAGTGTCAGAGTTCAAAAATAACCAGACATGTGTCAGCACCTATTGGCTCATATACACTGCCATCTCAACGGTTTGAACACATACATATAAATATCGTTGGACCACTACCACCATCAAACGGATACACTTACTGTCTAACGATTATTGATCGTTTCACTCGTTGGCCCGAAGCACTACCGATGATAGACATAACTGCTGAGACAGTTGCCCGAACACTGATCAGTGGTTGGATATCAAGATTTGGTGTACCATTACGTATAACATCAGACCAAGGCCGGCAGTTTGAATCGAATTTATTTCGATCTCTCACTCAACTGCTGGGCACCAAACGGATCCGAACAACTAGTTATCATCCGGCAGCTAATGGTCTCGTTGAACGTTTTCACCGTCAACTCAAAGCATCAATCAAGTGTCATAATAGCGAGAAATGGTCTGATTTACTACCGATTGTACTCTTAGGCATACGGAACGCATACAAAGAGGATCTCAACGCGACATCAGCTGAACTTGTATACGGACAGCACCTGCGATTGCCCGGCGAATTCTTCAGCAACACTGACGACACGTCAATTGAATCATCTGATTTCGCCGTTCAAATACGTCAACACATGCGTGAACTCCGCCCGATGTCTGTCCAAAGACATGGCGAGCGCCGAACATTCGTATTTACCGATCTAAGCAACTGCTCTCATGTATTCTTAAGACATGATGCTGTCCGCCGACCACTACAAGCACCATATGATGGCCCATATCAAGTACTCATCCGCACAGACAAGACGTTCGACATCGACATTAATGGTCGCAAGTCTACTGTATCTATCGATCGACTCAAGCCAGCGTATATCCAAGCACCGGTCGAACCTACACATCAACAGACAAGTCATACAATACCTGATTCCGACAATCAAAGCACTTCATCAGCACCTCAACCATTGACAACTCGATCTGGACGTCGCGTTCGAATCAATACTAACCCGGATTTTCGTTACTTCTAGTCGTGGCCAAGCCACTTCGGGGGGAGTAATTTGGGGAACGTAATTATTCTCTCTCTCTCTCACCTGACTATCTATTGTTGTATTGATATCCCTATCCGCCCAACACTTTCATTCTTTTACTTAACTCAATAATACTGTACACTGTTTTTATGACCAATCAATAAATTGTTTATTTAATTAACTCTTGTGTCCATTGATTGTCAACACTGTAATTGCTATCATCGGCCGACTCACGCAAAGCATAATAGCGACCCCAACCGCTATATATATATTTTTTTTAATCATTAATCTTATTTTAATTATTCAAATAATATTATTTAAATATAAAAATATATAATTTATATATATATATATATATATATATATATATATATGAAAATACTAGTCTAGTATTTTCCTAAAAAACAAGAAATAGTCTATATTTTTATAAACTTTTTTTTTATTAAAATTTTAGCTAAAATAATATCATAATGTTATATATTGATAAATCAATGTGATTTTAAACTAAAAATAAAAATAAAATGCTGTTTCATTGAAATTCAATAATTTAATACTACTAACAATAATTAATATCATTAGTATTAAACGTTTTTAATAAAATACTAACAATAATTATTAAAATATTAATTAATCTATTTAATAAATTATATTAACTTTTTTTCTAAAAACAATTTTGAATTATTGTTGTTGTTATTGAATTATTTAAAAAATAATGTTTGAAAATATATGTAATGATAAATTATTGGTAAGTAAACTAATTAATAATTTTATAAAATTATATTAAAGTAATCAATAATTATAATAAATGTAATTTATCTAATTTAATTCAAATATAGGACAAACAAATTGTATGGTTTACTACCAGACCATCACTTAGCTCATGTATGCTGAATACATGGTTTGTATGGATACCCTGTCTGTTCGTGTGGTCATACATACCGATCCTGTTATACAAATATATCATTAGTCGCACTGGTTTTACTAAAAATGTTATTAAATTGAACTTATATAACATTAGTAGACTGTTTGTGGCCATTACCAGCACTGGTATCCTAATAGCAATGTTAGCATTGAGTTTGTGCCGCAAATATCTATGGGCGGACAGTCCCAGTACGGCATACATTATAGCACTTGCCATACAAACCATTACAAGACTATCGCTTTGTTTTGTGTTTTTCATTCAAAGATTGTCCGGTATTACGACCAGTGGTTGGATTTGGTTATACCTATTACTGGATACTATTTTAAATGGTCTATCAGTGGCTACATATGCCACACAAGATATGCTATACAACTATGAATTCATACTCTATTGTATAAACTTTGCGCTAACTGTTTGTCTATTAATCTACTGTACATTTGCAGATCAATTGCCACCAGAAAATAGCAACAATACTACAAACACTGATCCCGACTTATGGACCAAACATACTGTTTGTCCCAAATCGGGCGCATCCTATGCATCGCGAATAACCTATCAGTGGGTAAATCGGCTACTATTGAAAGGTTGGCTAAACAAGTCATTAGTGTTTGATAATCTATGGGCACTGCGCCGGGAGGACAGTACTAACTATAACTATAGGCGCTTTTTAAAATTATGGTCACCATTATCATCATCATTGTCTAAACATATAAACATTAATAATAGTAGTAATGATAAAATTAAACATGGTAATAATAATAATTCTAGAAATTTGTTTGCCATTATTACTAAACTATATTTACCAAAAATTATTTGGTCACTATTGTTTTGTATACTATCGTATTGTTTGCAAATGGGATCGCCAATTATTTTACAGTATGTCCAGGTTTATATTATTTTATATTATTAAATAGTCTAGATTTTATATAATTATATATTACTATTTTTTATATAAATAATATTTAGTTAGTTATTAACAAAAATAGTATTTAAATTTAATAATATATTCAATTTTGTTTATTGTTTTTTGTTGTGTATAATTTTTTGCAACTAATTACATTACTATTATTATTTACCACAGTTTAATGATTGAGTTTATTGAAGATCCCGGTGCTCCCCAATGGCACGGCTATGTCTATACTATACTATTGTTGGCCATCAATGTTATCGCTGCCATTGTTCAGGCAATGTTTAGCGAGTATTTGGGATCTACATGTAAAATAAAAATTCAATCATAAATAATACACTTATTTTTAATTAATAAGTTTATAGTTTTTTTTTTAAATTTATAAATAATTGTTTAAAGGTTTACGTATTAAATCGTGTCTAACATCAGCCGTCTATCGCAAGTCACTAGTGCTGAGCAATAGTGCCAAACGGCGCACACCTACCGGTGAAATAGTCAACATTATGGCCATTGATTGCCAACGAATTAGCGGTTAATTAATTTTAATATATATATACATATATTTCTCTCTCTCTCTCTTTCAAAGTAACTAAATATTTTAATTCATTTTTATCAAATATATATATATATATATATATATATATATATATATATAGAACAAGCCGTCAATATGATTACATTACTATCCAATCCTATTCAACTGGTAATAGCCGTCTATCTGTTATACCTACAGTTAGGTGTGGCCACATTTGCCGGCCTATCCTATATGTTGGTATCGCTTATCATCAATGCTTTAAACGCTTTATATACTGTATTATTGACTAAACAATTGATGTCAATCAAAGACAAACGTCAAAACTTGATGAACGAAATACTTAACGGAATTAAAGTTTTAAAAGTATTTAATTTATTAATTTTTTTAATTGATTAAAATTTTTGATTAATTATTATTTATTTTTTTTTGAATCAAAATCATTACACTCAGTTGTATGCCTGGGAGGAAGCGTTTATGGGTTTAGTTGAAAAAATTAGGACCAAAGAGTTGGACAAATTTGTTACATTTGGCCACTCGGTTACCGTTTATGTTGTATTAAGCCATACCAGTCCAACAATTGTCCAATTGATTACCTATTGTACGTATGTGGCCATCAACCAGGATGACCAACAGCACCAAATAAATGCATCGAAAATATTTGTATCGCTGGCATTATTTAATTTGATCAGGCAGATAATGTTTACAATACCACAATCGATTAATGCTATTACCTTGGTAACTATTAATATTAATTTAAAAAAATTTATACAGTTTTTTAAAAAAATATTATTTGAATATTTATGTCTATTTAACGTTAATTATTTATTTTTTTTAAAAATACAATTAATAATTTAATATTATAATAATATTAATAGTAACTAAAATTTCAGATTTACGTATCATTCAAACGTATTGAAAAATTTCTCAAAAGTGATGAACACTTGGATTATGTTGAAGACAACTTAACCAACAATTGTATTATTAATGTTGAAAATGCATCGTTTAATTGGGAATCCGATACTAATAGTAGTAGTAGTAGTAGTGATAATACTAACAATAGTCAACCGATTTTACATAATATTAATCTCAATATAAATGATGGCCAGTTTGTGGCAATAGTAGGCAGTGTCGGGTCCGGTAAGAGTTCACTGATGTCGGCCCTGTTTGGCGATATGGATCTGATTGGCAGTAATGGCAGAGTCAATGTTAGACCAGATATCAGCGTAGCCTATGTTCCACAACAAGCCTGGATATTGAACTGTACGGTCAAAGAGAATATATTGTTTGGTAAACCCATGGATCAGGAACTGTATGATCGGGTGCTCGATACGTGTGCACTCAGGCATGACCTACAACAACTAGCCGACGGCGATCAGACAATGATCGGCGAAAAGGGTGTTAATCTGAGTGGCGGTCAAAAACAAAGAGTCAGTTTAGCCCGAGCTGTCTATTCCGGTGCCGATCTATACCTACTCGACGATCCACTGTCTGCCGGTATTTTGTTATTGTATTATAATTATTTTTTTATAATGTGTTACTAAACAAACAAAATAAAACCTATTTTTTCAATTTAGTGGACAGTCATGTCGGCAAACACATTGTCAGTAAAGTACTCGACTCGAGAACCGGTATTCTAAGCAATAAAACCCGTTTATTAGTAACAAATCAATTGTTTGTATTACCCGATGTCGACCTAATTGTTGTCATAAAAGACGGCATAATTACAAGTGTCGGTACTTATGATAATCTATTGGAAAATGATTGTTATTTTTCCGAATTAATTCAACAATATTTAGCTGAAAGTAGTAGTAGTAATGATGAAAATTCAAATAATTATAATAATATAGCTAATGATTATTATTATAATAACTGTAGTGATGCTAATAATGTTATCGATAAAAATAGTAATAATTTTAATACAATTGATACAATTGATACTATTGTAAAACCCATTAACAACAACAACAACAATTCAAAAACATTGATTAATGAGGAAACGGTAGAAATTGGCCAGGTCAAATTTAGTGTATGTACTCATAATAATTTATATAATGTTTCACTGTATATATATATATATATATATATATATATATATATACTGTATATTGAATATAATTTATATATTAAATATAACTAAATTAATTATAATATTACACATAGAATATATATAGTATATACATATATTTATAAATAAATAAATTTTTATAAAACTATTATACATTACTCTAATATTTTATATATTTATTTTTGATAGTAATTATAGAAAACATTTTATAATATATATATATACTATAAATTTATTACTATTACTAAAATTTGTATGACTGATTCAATTAATATATTTGATACAATTTAACATTATATATATATATATATAATTTTTATTTTATTATATTTCAGATATATATTAAATATGCCAAACATTTAGGTCCGTACTGTTCACTGGGTTTCCTATTGTCAATAATCACATACAATGCCCTACAGATTGGTTCATCGTTTTGGTTATCAATATTTAGCAACAATATTGACAGCATATCCAGCCATACATCATCATCGGTTGGCACCGGCAGTATAATTACCGACAACTACTGCTACTATTATTTAGGTATTTTTAGTGCCTTTATAGTCGGCAATATTATTACAGTACTGGCCAGCCGTTTGTTTATTATCAACGGTATACGTCGGGCCTCCAAACGTCTACACCGGCAACTGTTGTCGAGTGTAATGCATTCACCGATGAATTACTTCGATAGGACACCAATCGGCCGACTGATGAACCGATTTGGTAACGACACCGATGTATTGGATCGATCGCTAATGTTTAATATCATGTATTTAATTTAATTTAATTATTAAATATTATAGTTTATACTTATATACAGTATATATATATATTGTATATCGAATAGAAATATCTATAAAAAAAATTATTATTATTATTATTATTTTCATACAACCAAATAGTATAACATCAGATGTCTTATTACAATTAGTTGGTATAATAATAACGATATCTATAAAGACACCATTGTTTTTGGCACCACTGGCACTGGTAGCTGTTATTTACTATATAGTTCAGGTTAGATATTATTTTATAACATGATTATTGTAGATTAATATTAATTACTGAAATTAGTGATCAAACTAATAGTATAATATTTAAAAAATGTCAAAAAAAATAACATAGATAAAATTGAATGCAATTATTTTATTTTTTTTAAGATAAATTTAGTTGCATACATTAGTTATATCAATTAATTAATAATTATATATTTGTAGTTTATTTACATTAAAACTTCACGACAACTAAAACGGTATTATATTTACTAACAAACAAACAAAATATATTATAATTAATTATTTATTTATTTTTGAATAAACAAAATATTATTAGTTTAGAATCGACTACACGATCGCCGATATATTCACATTTCGGTCAAACACTGGCCGGTGTGTCCAGCATTAGGGCCTACGGCTGTACCGATCGATTTGTACGGGAATCCGAAAGACTAGTGGACAGCAATCAGATGTGTCTCTATCCTAATGTTGTGGCAAACAGTTGGCTACAGATTTGGTTGACATCACTCAGCAATTGTTTGCTATTTTTTGCCGCACTGTTTGCCGTACTGGGGAAAGGCAGTCTAACCGGCAGCGATATAGGACTATCCCTATCCTATGCATTGGCGTTAACTGTAACGTTAGACTTGTTTATCAAAACGTTTGCACAGTTGGAAAACAATATGGTTTCAGTCGAACGTATTGACGAATACTGTCGATTGGAAAGTGAATCCGATTGGCATCGATGTGTGGATGACTACCCGTTAGCCGATAACTGGCCCGATAGGGGAGCCGTTAGGTTTGAGAGTTATGCCACTAGATATGGGGTTGGATTAGATTTGGTACTCAATGATATTGATGTGGATATTAAAGCGGGCGAAAAGGTATTATTATTATTATAATTTATAATAATGTTTTGTGTTAGTTATTATATTACTATTTTTATTATTACTGTATTATTATTTTATTGAATATATTATAAATTACAAATATAAATCTATAGCTACCTATACTTAATAAAATAATTGTATAATATATAAATAAATTAAAGAAAAAATATATTATTACTAATATTAATAATATAAAAAAAAAATCACTTACTAATAAAATGTAAAAATTATGATAATAATATTTATAACTTAATTATTTTATAATAATTTTTAATAAAAAAAATTACTTATTAATAATAATTTTTGTATAATAGATAGGTATTGTTGGCCGAACCGGTGCTGGAAAGTCATCGCTAACTTTGGCTCTGTTAAGGCTTATTGAGCCAGCTATGGGTCGGATAGTTATTGACGGTATAGATATCGGACGGTTAGGACTACACGAGTTGCGCTCTCGGCTAACAATTATACCTCAAGAACCCATACTATTTTCGGGTACAATTCGCTTCAATTTGGATCCGTTTGGCCAGTTTTCCGACGATCACTTGTGGACAGTGTTAGATCAGTCGCATCTCAAAGAGTTTGTTGCCGCCAGTGATCGGGGACTCGACTGGTCGGTCGCCGAATCGGGTGATAACATGAGTGTTGGTCAACGACAGCTCATATGTCTGGCACGGGCTTTGTTACGTAATACTCGTGTCCTTATCCTCGATGAGGCCACGGCTGCCGTCGACGTAGAAACCGATGCACTCATACAGCAAACCATACGTCAAGAGTTTAGATCGTCGACTGTCCTAACGATTGCCCACCGAATCAATACAATTATGGACTCCGATCGGGTGTTAGTCCTCGACAACGGACGGGTAGCCGAGTTTGGCGAACCCAACAGTTTATTGGCAAATAAATTGTCAATTTTCTATACACTGGCCAATGATGCCGGTATTGTTTGATTTAGTATTAGTACTTAATTATAATTTTCTAAATTATTAATAGAAGTTAAATTTACTTAATAAAGATAATAATTTTTAATATATAAAATTTTAAAGTAAAATAATATGTAATTTTAGATTATTTAAATTAGCAAATTATATTTTTCTACTAATAATTTAATAAAAATAATAATATTATTGAAATATTTAAAATAAAATAAAAGTTTTATATATATATATATATTTAAATTCTAGTCTAGTATTAGTCAATATTATATAAACGGTTTTTTTTATTTTGAAAAAAATAATTTATAAATTAGCTAAAATAATATCCTAAAGTTTAAATAAAATAAATAATAAAAATAATTTATTAAAAAAAAAGTTATATTTCAATTATAAATCTAATTTAACAAACTTGTATTATTGTTGTTGCTATTATTGAATTATTTAAAAATAATGTTTGAAAATATATGTAATGAAAAGTTATTGGTAAGTAAACTAAATAATAATTTTATAAAATTATATTAAAGTAATCAATAATTATAATAAATGTAATTTATATAATTTAAAACAAATATAGGATAAACAAATTTATATGGTTTACTAACAAGACCATCATTGAGCTCATGTATGCTCAACACTTGGTTCGTATGGATTCCCTGTATATTCATATGGTTATACATACCGAACCTGTTATACAAATATATCAGTTCACGCACTGGTGTTAATAAAAATGTTATATAACTATATATATATATAATCTTTCTCTCTCTCTTTCTCTCTCTCTCTCTCTCTCTCTCTCTCTCTCTCTCTCTCTCTCTCTCTCTCTCTCATGACAATATCTACAAAGACACCATTGTTTTTGGCACCACTGGCACTGGTAGCTGTTATTTACTATATACATGTAGTTCAGGTTATATTTTCTTAAAATTTTTATTTTATAATTTTTATCGTTTTGTTAATTAATTAGTTTATTTTCATTAAAACTTAACGACAATTAAAACGGTAAGCAATAAAATAATATAAAAAGGATTATTATAAAATTATCAAACAATACCGGCATCACTGGCCAGTGTATAAAAAATTGACAATTTGTTTGCCAATAAACTGTTGGGTTCGGCAAACTCGGCTACCCGTCCGTTGTCGAGGACTAACACCCGATCGGAGTCCATAATTGTGTTGATTCGGTGGGCAATCGTTAAGACAGTCGACGACCTAAACTCTTGACGTATGGTTTGCTGTATGAGTGCATCGGTTTCGACGTCGACGGCAGCCGTGGCCTCATCGAGGATAAGGATACGAGTGTTACGTAACAGAGCCCGTGCCAGACATATGAGCTGTCGTTGACCAACACTCATGTTATCGCCCGATTCGGCGACCGTCCAGTCGAGTCCCCGATCACTGGCGGCAACAAACTCTTTGAGATGCGACTGTTCTAATACTGTCCACAAGTGATCGTCGGAAAACTGGTCAAACGGATCCAAATTGAAGCGAATTGTACCCGAAAATAGTATGGGTTCTTGAGGTATAATTGTTAGCCGAGAGCGCAACTTGTGTAATCCTAACCGTCCGATATCTATACCGTCAATAACTATCTGACCCATTGCTGGTTCAATGAGCCTAAACAAGGCTAAAGTTAGCGATGACTTTCCAGCACCGGTTCGGCCAACAATACCTATCTATTATACAAAAATTATTATTAATAAGTAATTCTTTATTAATAAAAATTATTATAAAATAATTAAGTTATAAAAATCATTATTATAATTGCCTATTTTTTATATTTTATTAGTATTAATATATTTTTTCATTAATTTATATATATATTAATACTATACATTTTTTTATTAAACGGTAATTGTAGGTTTATATTTGTAATTTATAATATATACTTTAAAAAAATAATACAGTAATAATAATACCTTTTCGCCCGGTTTAATATCCACATCAATATCATTGAGTACCAAATCTAATCCAACCCCATATCTAGTGGCATAACTCTCAAACCTAACTGATCCCCTGTCGGGCCAGTTATCGGCTAACGGGTAGTCATCATCACATCGATGCCAATCGGATTCACTTTCCAATCGACAGTATTCGTCAATACGTTCGACTGAAACCATATTATTTTCCAACTGTGCAAACGATTTGATAAAATAATCTAACATTAATGTTAACGACATTGCATAGGATAGGGATAGTCCTATATCGCTGCCGGTTAGACTGCCTTTCCCCAGTACGGCAAACAGTGCGGCAAAAAATAGCAAACAATTGCTGAGTGATGTCAACCAAATCTGTAGCCAACTGTTTGACACAACATTAGGATAGAGACACATCTGATTGATGTCTACTAGTCTATCGGATTCCCGTACAAACCGATCGGTACAGCCGTAGGCCCTAATGCTGGACACACCGGCCAGTGTTTGACCGAAATGTGAATATATCGGCGATCGTGTAGTCGATTCTAAACTAATAATATTTTGTTTATTTAAATAAAATAAGTAATTAATTATAATGTATTTTGTTTGTTTGTTAGTAAATATATTACCGTTTTAGTTGTCGTGAAGTTTTAATATAAATAAACTACAAATATATAAATATATTATTAGTATTATTATTAATAATAAAAATGCATATAATGTATATATCTATATATATATATATAATTAGTAATCAATGGATATAACTAATTTTTTTTATATTACACTATTTAGTTGTATTAATAATTTCAGTAATTACTATTAATATAAATATACAATAATCTCTAATAAAAATAATATCTAACCTGAACTATATAGTAGATAATAGCTACCAGTGCCAGTGGTGCCAAAAACAATGGTGTCTTTATAGATATCGTTACAATTATACCAATCAAATGTATTAAGACATCTGTTGTTATACTTTTTTTTGAATGTTTGAAAATAATAATAAAAATAATAATAATTTTTTATAGATATTTCTTTTTGATATACAGTCTATATACAGTATATATACTGTATAAGTATAAACTATAACATTTAATAATATAATTAAATTAATTTAATCAAATACATGATAGAAAACATTAGCGATCGATCCAATACATCGGTGTCGTTACCAAATCGGTTCATCAGTCGGCCGATTGGCTGACTATCGAAGTAATTCATCGGTGAATGCATTACACTCGACAACAGTCGACTGAATAGACGTTTGGAGGCCCGACGTATACCGTTGATCATAAACAAACGGCTGGCCAGTACTGTAATAATATTGCCGACAATAAAGGCACTAAAAATACTTAAATAATAGTAGCTGTCGGTAGTTATACTGCCGGTGCCAACCGATGATGATGATGATGATGGCGATGGTGTATGACTGGTATTGATGTCAATATTGTTGCAAAATATTGATAACCAAAACGATGAACCAAACAGTAGGCCATTGAATCCAATTATTGAAAATAGGAAACCCAGTGAACAGTACGGACCTAAATGTTTGGCATATTTCATATATATCTAAGATATATATATATATATACCAAACAAAACAAAAATAAATAATAATTGTTTTTATTACTAATTTTAATTAATAAATATACTACAAATTTATAGTATATTATACAATGTTTTCTATAATTACTATCAAAAAAATTAAATTATATATTAGAGTATTGTATAATAGTTTTAAATAAATTTATATAAATATATATATTAATAGTTATATATATTCTAATTATATATATATATATTTAATATATAAATTATATTCGGGTCTAGTTCATAAGATCTAAACTCATTTGACCCAAACTTATTTGACCCAACTCATTTGATCTAAACTTATTTGACCCAACTCATTTGACCCAAACTCATTTGACCCAAATCACTTGACCCAACTCATTTGACCCAACTCATTTGACCCAAATCACTTTACCCAAATCATTTGACCCAAACTTATTTAACCCAAATATTTATTATTTTATTTTTCAAACTATATAATTATATATAAATAATACAAACTTAATAATTGGAAATATTTCTGTTTTTTTATTTTTTTTTAAAATAAATATGTAATAACTTAATATTATTAAGTTCTAAATTATTTTATAGATTAAATAGATTATTATATTATTTATATAGTTAATTAAATAAAATTATTAAGTTTTATATTATTTATATATAATTATAGTTTGAAAAAATAAAATAATAAATATTTGGGTCAAATAAGTTTGGGTTAAATGATTTAGATCAAGTGATTTGGGTCAAATGAGTTGGGTCAAATGATTTGTGTCAAATGATTTGGGTCAAGTGATTTGGGTCAAATAAGTTTGGGTCAAGTGATTTGGGTCAAATAAGTTTGGATCAAATGAGTTGGGTCAAGTAAGTTTGGATCAAATGAGTTGGGTCAAGTAAGTTTGGATCAAATGAGTTGGGTCAAATAAGTTTGGGTCAAGTGATTTGGGTCAAATGAGTTTGGGTCAAATGAGTTGGGTCAAATAAGTTTAGATCAAATGAGTTTAGATCTTATGAGTGCGACCGATTATATTCAATATACAGTATATATATATATTTATACAGTGAAACATTATATAAATTATTATGAGTACATACACTAAATTTGACCTGGCCAATTTCTACCGTTTCCTCATTAGTCAATGTTTTTGAATTGTTGTTGTTGTTGTTAATAAGTTTTACAATAGTATCAATTGTATTACAATTAGTATTATTATCGTTACAGTTATTATAATAATTAGCATTAGCTATATTATTATAATTATTTAAATTTTCATCACTACTATTACTTTCAGCTAAATATTGTTGTATTAATTCGGAAAAATAACAATCATTTTCCAATAGATTATCATAAGTACCGACACTTGTAATTATGCCGTCTTTTATGACAACAATTAGGTCGACATCGGGTAATACAAACAATTGATTTGTTACTAATAAACGGGTTTTATTGCTTAGAATACCGGTTCTCGAGTCGAGTACTTTACTGACGATATGTTTGCCCACATGACTGTCCACTAAATTAAAAAAATTTATTTTGTTTAGTAACACATTATAAAAAAAATATAATTATAATTATATAGCAAAATACCGGCAGACAGTGGATCGTCGAGTAGGTATAGATCGGCACCGGAATAGACAGCTCGGGCTAAACTGACTCTTTGTTTTTGACCGCCACTCAGATTAACACCCTTTTCGCCGATCACTGTCTGATCGCCGTCGGCTAGTTGGTGTAAATCATGCCTGAGTGCACACGTTTCGAGCACCTGATCATACAGTACTCGATCCATGGGTTTACCAAACACTATATTTTCTTTGACTGTATCGTTCAATATCCAGGCCTGTTGTGGAACATAGGCTACACTAATATCTGGTCTAACATTGACTTTGCCATTACTGCCAATCAGATCCATATCGCCAAACAAAGCAGACATCAGTGAACTTTTGCCGGACCCGACACTGCCTACTATTGCCACAAACTGGCCATCAATTATATTGAGATTAATATTATGTAAAATCGGTTGACTATTATTAGTATTATCACTACTACTACTAATACTATTGGTATCTGATTCCCAATTAAACGATGCATTTTCAACATTAATAATATAATTGTTTGATATATTGTTTTCAATATAATCCAAGTGTTCATCACTATTGAGAAACCTTTCAATACGTTTGAATGATACGTAAATCTGAAATAATTATTAATTGTATTATTAGAAAAAAAATAATTAACATTAAATAGACATGAATATTCAAATAATTTAAAAAACAATATAAAATAATTAGACTATTAACTAATTAACTAATATATAATACAAAATATACGTAAATCTGAAATTTTAGTTAATATTAATATTACTATTAATAAAAAAAATCATTACATAAATATTAATTCATTATAATAATCAAATAATAATAATTGAATTTTTATATTTTGAAACCAATTAATATTAATATTATAGTAATATGATATAAATAAATTATAGGTAATAATAAAATAATATATATATATATTTTTAATTATATTAATAGTTACCAAGGTAATTGCATTAAGCGATTGTGGCAAAGAAAACATTATCTGCCTGATCAAATTAAATAGTGCCAGCGATACAAATATTTTTGATGCATTTATTTGGTTCAGTTGGTCACCCTGATTGATGGCCACATACGTACAATAGGTTATCAATTGGACAATTGCTGGACTGGTATAACTTAAAACAACATAAACTATAAACGATTTGCCAAATGTAAAAAATTTGTCCAACTCTTTGGTCCTAATTTTTTCAACTAAACCCATAAACGCCTCCTCCCAGGCATACAACTGAGTGTATTGATTTTGATTCAAAAAAAAAATAAAATAAATAACAATTAATCAAAAATTTTAATCAATTAAAATAAATTAATAAATGAAAATACTTTTAAAACTTTAATTCCGTTAAGTATTTCGTTCATCAAGTTTTGACGTTTGTCTTTGATTGACATCAATTGTTTAGTCAATAATACAGTATATAAAGAGACTAAAATACTTATGATAAGCGATACAAACATATAGGATAGGCCGACAAATGTGGCCACACCTAACTGTAGATATAAAACATAGACGGCTATAACCAATTGAATAGGATCTGATAGTATTGTTAGCAGATTGACGGCTTGTTCTATATATATATATATAAATATATAATATTTTTAATATTTAAAAAAAATTCAAAAAAATATGAATATAATTAAAGTTAATTAACCGCTAATTCGTTGGCAATCAATGGCCATAATGTTGACTATTTCACCGGTAGGTGTGCGCCGTTTGGCACTATTGCTCAGCACTAGTGACTTGCGATAGACGGCTGATGTTAGACACGATTTAATACGTAAACCTTTAAATAAATAAAATTTTTTAAAAACCAAAAAAACTATAAACTTATTAATTAAAAATAAGTTTATTAATTATTTTTTGAATTATTATTTTACATGTAGATCCCAAATACTCGCTAAACATTGCCTGAACAATGGCTGCGATAACATTGATGGCCAACAATAGTATAGTATAGACATAGCCGTGCCATTGAGGAGCACCGGGATCTTCAATAAACTGAATCATTAATCTTGGAAAAAAATTTAAAAATAAAACAAATTGAATGTATAAATAATTAAATACTATTTTTTAATAAGTATCTAAAAGTTATTTTTATAAAAGTAATATATAAATAGGGACATACAGTAAAATAATTGGCGATCCCATTTGCAAACAATACGATAGTATATTAAACAATAGTGACCAAATAATTTTTGGCAAATATAGTTTTGTAATAATGGCAAACAAATTTCTATTATTATTATTATTACCATGTTTAATTTTATCATTACTACTATTATTAAGGTTTATATGTTTAGCCGATGATAATGATGATGATAATGGTGACCATTGTTTTAAAAAGCGCCTATAGTTATAGCCACTACTGTCCTCCCGGCGCAGTGCCCATAGATCATCAAATACTAATGACTTGTTTAGCCAACCTTTTATTAGTAATCTATTCACCCATTGGTATGTTATACGCGATGCATAGGATGCGCCCGATTTGGGACAAACAGTATGTTTGGTCCATAAGTCGGAGTCAGTGTCGGTATAATTGTTGCTATTTTCTGGTGGCAATTGATCGGAAAATGTACAGTAGATTAACAGACAAACAGTTAGCGCAAACTTTATACAATAGAGTATAAATTCATAGTTATATAGTATATCTTGTGTAGCATATGTAGCCAATGATAGACCACTTAAAATAGTGTCCAATAATAGGTATAACCAAATCCAACCATTGGTCGTAATACCGGACAATCGGTGAACGAAAAACACAAAACAAAGCGCTAGTCTTGTGATTGTTTGTATGGCAACGGCTATAATGTATGCCGTACTGGGACTGTCCGACCATTGATATTTGCGACACAAACTCAATGCTAACATTGCTATTAGGATACCAGTGCTGACAATGGCCACAAACAGTCTACTAATGTTATATAAGTTCCATTTGATAACATTTTTATTAACACCTGTGCGGCCAATGATGTATTTGTATAACAGGTTCGGTATGTATAACCACATGAACAGACAGGGAATCCATACGAACCATGTGTTGAGCATACATGAGCTCAGTGTTGGTCTTGTAGTAAACCATACAATTTGTTTATCCTAATTGTATATTAAATTATCATAAATTTATAAAAATTTATGATAATTTTTTTCACTTTATAGCTATTTTTAAAATTATTATTTTTTAGTTTATACTTACGAATAACTTATCACTGCATATATTTTCAAACATTATTTTTTTAATAATTCAATAATAAATTACAATAATTGAAAATTTGTTTTTTTTTAAAAATAAACTAGTTTTAAATTATAAAAATTTATTATCAACATTGGTGTTGTTTAAGTACGAAATTTTTAAATTTGCGATTAGATTTTAGTTTTTTTAAAAAAACTAATTAATTTTTAATCTATCTATATATCTGTTATTTATGATTATTTCAAAAACAAAAAAAACACATAATTTAAATAAACTATAATTTATAATTAAAAGTTTAACAATAAAATTAATTGTTAAGCATTTATTGATTAATTAGTATTATCTATAAAATATATATTTATAATTTTTATTATCAATTAACTATAATAATAATCATATTTGATTAAAATGTTTATAACTAATGTGTGTATCTAAAAATAATATTAAAAATTAAATAAATAAATTTAATAATTATCTAAATAAATAATGAATGAATCAATTAATTCTAATTTATAATATTTATATAAATATTATTATTAATAATAAAAAATTAATTAATAAAATATATTTTTTTTAATTATATGTTTATATGATTAGTAGAAAAAAATAAATTAAAAATAAAATAAATAAACAAATAAATAAAAAAATAAACCAAATCAATTAGTAATAGTACTTTTAATACTGTATTATAAAATATATACAATTTTATTACATTTCATTATCATAAATTTATTAATCTAAAAAATAATAACAAAATATTGATAATTATAATAATAATAAACAATTTAATAGTATTTTTTAGATAATACACAATTAAATATTTATTATATATTTGTATGTTATAAATTTATATCAGTGTTTCGATAGGGAGGGGTTGAGAGGGGTAAGGCCACCTTACCCCCTGAGATCAATTTTTTTTATTTTTGATTAATGTAAAGTTTAGTATTAAACAAAAAATATAAATACTAATTGAGTTTTAATATAAATAAATATATAATAATAATAATCCTAAATCACCACCGGTTAGACTGCCTTTCCCCAGTACGGCAAACAGTGCGGCAAATAATTATAATTATTAATATTTTTTTTTTATTATATACTGTAGATACAGTACTGTTATATTATTTATTTAATATTTTGTTTTTTAATAATATAAATAATTTTTTGTTTTAAAAATATTAAGGAAATAACATTTAAATATTAACAATACTATATTGTTAATTAATTAATATTATATTAATATATTGATAAAAAAATTCAATTTATTTAGCATTCAATGTCATTAATAATAATGTTTTTTTTGCAAATATGTTGTCTCATTGTAATAAAATTTAATTAAAAATATATATATATATATATTATTGTATTAAATGTTAAGATTAAATTGAAATGTATTATTTTTTAAAAAATAATAATAATAATAACAATATTTATTTAACAAAAATTTAGTTTCCGAAATTATAATGTTTGAAAGTATATGTAATGATAAACTATTGGTAAGTATTTAATACAATAATTATAATTAATAATAAATTAGTCAAATAAAACTAATTAATGCTTTAATTATGTTTAATGTTTAACTAATAGGATAAACAAATTGTATGGTTTACTACCAGACCATCATTGAGCTCATGTATGCTGAATACATGGTTCGTATGGATACCCAGTCTGTTCGTGTGGTTATACATACCGTACATGTTATACAAATATAATAGTAGTATACGTATGGATAGCAATAAAAATGTAATCAAATGGAACTTATATAACACCAGTAGATTGTTTGTGGCCATTGCCAGCACTGGTATCCTAATATCAATGTTAGCATTGAGTTTGTGCCGCAAATATCAATGGTCGGACAGTCCCAGTACGGCATACATTATAGCCGTTGCCATTCAAACCATTACAAGACTAGAGCTTTGTTTTGTGTTTTTCATTCACCAATTATCAGGTATTACGACCAGTGGTTGGATTTGGTTATACCTATTATTGGATACTATTTTAAGTGGTCTATCACTGGCTACATATGCCACTCATAATATGCTAGAAAATTATGAATTCATACTCTATTGTATAAATTTTGTACTAACTGTCTGTCTATTAATCTACTGTACATTTGCCGATCAATTGCCACTAGAAAATTGCAACAACTTTTATACCGATACTGACTCCGACTTATGGACTAAACATACTGTTTGTCCCAAATCGGGCGCATCCTATGCATCGCGTATAACCTATCAGTGGGTAAATCGGCTACTATTGAAAGGTTGGCTAAACAAGTCACTAGTATTTGACGATCTATGGGCACTGCGCCGGGAGGACAGTACTCTCTATAATTATAATCGTTTTTTGAAACAATGGTCACCATTAACATCATCATCAAAATCGGCTAAACATATTATAAATACTAACACTATATATAATTATAAAAATAATAATACTAATAAAATTAAACATGGTAATACTAGAAATTTGTTTATCATTATTACTAAACTATATTTGCCAAAAATTATTTGGTCACTATTGTTTTGTATACTATCATATTGTTTGCAAATGGTATCGCCTATTATACTACAGTATGTCCATGTTTATTTAATTATAAATTGTAAATTGTTTTGTTTTATAAATTTTTTTGGTATTATTATTTATAAACTTTTAAATATTGTTTAAATGCATATTAAAGTTAATATAACTTAATATATTATATATTAGTTTTATTTTTTTATATTTTTTTTGTAAATAATTATTTATTTTTAAAAATAGTTTAATGATTAAGTTTATTGAAGATCCCGGTGCTCCCCAATGGCACGGCTATGTCTATACTATACTATTGTTGGCCATCAATGTTATCGCTGCCATTGTTCAGGCAATGTTTAGCGAGTATATCGGTTCAACATGTAATTAATGATTTACATAAAATATATATATAAATAATTAATTAATTATGTGATTAAAATTTGATATTTCTTTATTTGATTGAATTATATAAAGGTTTACGTATTAAATCGTGTCTAACATCAGCCGTCTATCGCAAGTCACTAGTGCTGAGTAATAGTGCCAAACGGCGCACACCTACCGGTGAAATAGTCAACATTATGGCCATTGATTGCCAACGAATTAGCGGTTAATTAGTTTTTCATATTTTCAATTATTTTTTTCATATTTTTTTCATATTTTTTCATATTTTTTCATATTTTTTCATATTTTTTCATATTTTTTATCAATTATTTCAATTATCTCTTTTATAAATTAAGATGAAACCGTAAATCTGATTACAATACTATCAAATCCTATTCAACTCATAATAGCCGTCTATCTGTTATACCTACAATTAGGTGTGGCCACATTTGTCGGCCTATCCTATATGTTGGTATCGCTTATCATCAATGTTTTAGTCGGTTTATATACTGTACTATTGACTAACCAATTGATGTCAATCAAAGACAAACGTCAAAACTTGATGAACGAAATACTTAACGGAATTAAAATTTTAAAAGTATTTAATTTAATAAAAATATTTTATAATTTAAATTTTTTTTATTAATAATTAAAATACTCAGTTGTATGCCTGGGAGGAGGCGTTTATGGGTTTAGTTGAAAAAATTAGGACCAAAGAGTTGGACAAATTTGTTAGATTTGGCCAATCGATTACCGTTTATATTGTATTAAGTTTTACCAGTCCATTAATTTTCCAATTGATAACCTATTGTACGTATGTGGCCATCAATCAGGGTGACCAACTGCACCAAATAAATGCATCAAAAATATTTGTATCGCTGGCATTGTTTAATTTGGTCAGGCAGATAATGTTTACATTGCCAATAACGTTTAATGCAATTACATTGGTAACTATACAAACTATAAAATTTGTATAAAAAGCATAATAAATAACTTAAAGCACTTAATTAATTATTTTTTTTAATTGTTAAAAATCTGTAAATATGTTTAATAATAATAATAATAGTTAGTACATCATAGATAAAAGTCAAATTATTTTATATTATAATTTATAATTAATTTAATTTATATATTTATTTTTTTTATACTATTTAATAATTAATTTCAGATATACGTATCATTCAAACGTATTGAACAGTTTCTCAATAGTGATGAACACTTGAATTATATTGAAAACAATATATCAAATAATAATTGTTTGATTAATGTTGAAAATGCATCGTTTAATTGGGAATCAGATATAAATAGTATTAATAGTGATAATAATAATAATAAACCGATTTTACATAATATTAATCTCAAAGTAATTGATGGACAGTTTGTGGCAATAGTAGGCAGTGTCGGGTCCGGTAAGAGTTCATTGATGTCGGCCCTGTTTGGCGATATGAATCTGATAAGTGACGGTAAGGGTAGAGTCAACATTAGGTCTGGTATTAGTATAGCTTATGTACCACAACAGGCCTGGATATTGAACTGTACGATCAAAGAGAATATATTGTTTGGTAAACCCATGAACAGGGAACTGTATGATCAGGTGCTCGACATGTGTGCACTCATAGAGGACTTACTACAGCTGCCAGACGGCGATCAGACAGTGATCGGCGAAAAGGGTGTTAATCTGAGTGGCGGTCAAAAACAAAGAGTCAGTTTAGCCCGAGCTGTCTATTCCGGTGCCGATCTATACTTACTCGACGATCCACTTTCTGCTGGTATTTAGTTATAATATAATAATAATAATTTTATTTACTATACCAACAAACAACTAAAAACATATATATTTTTAATTCAGTGGACAGTCATGTGGCCAAAACAATTGTCAGAAAAGTACTCGACTCGAGAACCGGTATTCTCAACAATAAAACCCGTTTATTAGTAACAAATCAATTGTTTGTATTACCCGATGTCGACCTAATTGTTGTCATAAAAGACGGCATAATTACAAGTGTCGGTACTTATGATAATCTATTGGAAAATGATTGTTATTTTTCCGAATTAATTCAACAATATTTATCTGATAATACTATTGATAAAAATACAGATAATATTAGTATCGATTATTTTAATGATGATTGCGATGATAATAATAATATTAATAATATTAATAGTAATAATATTTATACTATTGTAAAACCCATTAACGACAACAACAACATTCAAAAAACATTGACTAATGAGGAAACGGTAGAAATTGGCCAGGTCAAATTTAGTGTAGGTATTACCAATAATAATACCCACCCGCCCACACACATACACACTCACAAACTTTATTTAATTAATTAATATAATTTTACAATAATTATTTTTCATTAATTTTTTTGTTATCTTAGCTTTACATGAAATATGCCAAACATTTAGGTCCGTACTGTTCACTGGGTTTCCTATTGTCAATAATCACATACAATGGCCTACTGTTTGGTTCATCGTTTTGGTTATCAATATTTAGCAACAATATTGACATCAATACCAGTAGTAGCCAACAATCATCGGCTAATACTACTACTACTACTACTAACGACTACTACTATTATTTGGCCATTTTTAGTATCTTTGTCGGCGCTACTATTGTTACAACATTGACCAGCCGTTTGTTTATTGTCTACGGTATACGTCGGGCCTCCACTCGTCTACACCGGCAACTGTTGTCGAGTGTAATGCATTCACCGATGAATTACTTCGATAGGACACCAATCGGCCGACTGATGAACCGATTTGGTAACGACACCGATGTTATGGATCGATCGCTACTGTTTACTATCAAGTATTTAATTGATTTAATAATTAATTAATTAATTATATATATATATACAGTATATTATATTATTATATTTATATCTAATTTAAATATAAATATAATAAATATAAATATAAACTTTTTTAATATTACTTTATTATTAATATTATTATTGTTTAACTAACAAAAAAAACAACAACAAAAAGTATAACAATAGATGCCTTTTTACAATTGATTGGTATAATAGTAACGATATCTATAAAGACACCATTGTTTTTGGCACCACTGGCACTGGTAGCTGTTATTTACTATGTAGTCCAGGTTAGATTATTTAAACTATATTTATATATTTATTATTAATTATTTTTGTTTTGTTATTTTGTTTTAGTTTATTTATATTAAAACTTCACGACAACTAAAACGGTAAGCATTTAAGTCTGTTTTAATAATAATAATAATAAAATACAATATAAAATAAACTCATAGTTTAGAGTCGACTACACGATCGCCAATATATTCACATTTTGGTCAAACATTGGCCGGTTTGTCCAGCATTAGGCCTACAAGTGTATCGATCGGTTTGTACGGGAATCCGATAGACGAGTAGACATCAATCAGATGTGTCTCTATCCTAATGTTGTAGCAAACAGTTGTCTACAGATTTGGTTGACATCACTCAGCAATTGTCTGTTATTTTTTGCCGCACTGTTTGCCGTACTGGGGAAAGGCAGTCTAACCGGCAGCGATATAGGACTATCCCTATCCTATGCACTGTCGTTGACACTAATTTTAGACCAGTTTATCAAATCGTTTTCACAGTTGGAAAACAATATGGTTTCAGTCGAACGTATTGACGAATACTGTCGATTGGAAAGTGAATCCGATTGGCATCGATGTGATGATGACTACCCGTTAGCCGATAACTGGCCCGACAGGGGATCCGTTAGGTTTGAGGGTTATGCCACCAGATATTGGATTGGATTGGATTTGATACTCAATGATATTGATGTCAATATTAAACCGGGAGAAAAGGTATTATTATTATTTGAAGTATATTTTATATATAACTTATAAATAAATCTATACCTACTGTATAACTAAAATAAATTATAGTTATCTTCTATAAACATAACATTTAATTAATTTTAAGTAAAATAAAAATATTAATGCTAATAATTTTTAGATTTTAAATTATTTTTTAAAAATTAATTTACAATAATTCTAAATCACTTATTTAATATTATTATTTTTTAAATAACAGATAGGTATTGTTGGCCGAACCGGTGCTGGAAAGTCATCGCTAACTTTGGCTCTGTTTAGGCTCATTGAACCAGCAATGGGTCGGATAGTCATTGATGGCATAGATATCGGACGGTTAGGTCTACACGAGTTGCGCTCTCGGCTAACAATTATACCTCAAGAACCCATACTATTTTCGGGTACAATTCGCTTCAATTTGGATCCGTTTGGCCAGTTTTCCGACGATCACTTGTGGACAGTGTTAGATCAGTCGCATCTCAAAGAATTTGTTGCCGCCAATGATCGGGGACTCGACTGGTCGGTCGCCGAATCGGGTGATAACATGAGTGTTGGTCAACGACAGCTCATATGTCTGGCACGGGCTCTGTTACGTAACACTCATATCCTTATCCTCGATGAGGCCACGGCTACTGTCGACATCGAAACCGATGCACTCATACAGCAAACCATACGTCAAGAGTTTAGTTCGTCGACTGTCCTAACGATTGCCCACCGAATCAATACAATTATGGACTCCGATCGGGTGTTAGTCCTCGACAGCGGACGGGTAGCCGAGTTTGCCGAACCCGACAGTTTGCTGGCAAACAAATTGTCAATTTTTTATACACTGGCCAGTGATGCCGGTATTGTTTGATTTATTAGTTTTTAATTATAAATTTTTCTCAATAATTAATACAAATTATATTATAAATTAATTAATATTTATATATTTATTTTTTCTTAAATATTAAAAAATATCCTAATTTATATTATATATATACTGTAAACATATTTAAATTGGCGACTATTATCTAGTTTTTATTAATTTCATATTTAAAAACTTATAATTTAATAAATTTATTTAATTTAGTTTTTAATTATAAATTTTTCTCAATAATTAATACAAATTATATTATAAATTAATTAATTAATATTTATATATTTATTTTTTCTTAAATATTAAAAAATATCCTAATTTATATTATATATATACTGTAAACATATTTAAATTGGCGACTATTATCTAGTTTTTATTAATTTCATATTTAAAAACTTATAATTTAATAAATTTATTTAATTTAGTTTTAATTATAATTTTAAAAAAATTATTTTTTACTTAATTAATATTTTTTTACTGTATATAAATAATTTAATATTTTATTAATCAGTGACTTTACTATTATGTTTATTTGACTACAATTACTAATAACTATTACTAATACTAATAAGTTTTTTTTGATTTAATCATTATTATTATTTAGTTGAATTTTAAAAATAATTATTATTAGTTTTAACTATTATATTTGTAATTTAAATTATAGCATTATATAATGAAAATAATTGTATGAATTCTATGATTTTAAAAAATATATAATATATAATTTATATATATCATTAAATTAATAATATAAAAATCAGAGTTAATTCAATTTATTGCTAACTAATTCAAATTAATTTTTTAAAACTAAATTAAATGCTTTTTCATTGAAATAATATTCAATTTTAAAATATATATTATTTTCAATAATATAAAATTATTGTATTAGTTGTTATAATTGAATT